CACAGGGTCTCAGAATTGGAGGAAACCTAATTATATGGAGAAAACAAAGGTGGAATATATAGAAAGAAACATGAGGAAGCAAATCTTTAATGTTCAAACATGGAAATTCACTCTTCATCTTTGAAGACAAGGATGGTTTTCAGGCAACCAAACCATCATAATTTCAAACTTCTCTATGCTCAAAAGCTGGTTCATGAAAACAGCTAATGGCTAGAGCTAACCTGTTTTTCAACTGTGGAGGTAATTTGAGTATAATATATCACTATCAATCAATTGCATCCTGAATATACCTACTTGGTGTCCCCCAACATCAGACACACCAGACACACCTGGCGGTGTAGTTAAGTTAGGTGCCCCAGCTTCAACTACATGTGTACATGATCATGGCTTTTATTTAGTTCATATATGGGTCCAATTCCCAATTGGATTTATTTCTTGGTAATGCCAAATTCCCAAAATATAGTGTTTAATTGTGAAAACATCCTTCCCTGTGATTAATTTTCTTCTCAAATAAGATAAAATTCCCTTTCCCAAATGTTCCCTACCCTATCTCTCTTACCATACACACCTGGCAATAATTAAACTGCTTGTTTGTGTGTCCCCAACTTCCTCTACAGGTAATACTGTTACATGACCAGGTCCCTCACCCAAACTCCTTACACCAGATACACTGTGACTCAAAACTTGTAATCATTATATATGGTGAAGTGGACTGGTACCATGATTCAAAACTTGTGATCATTATATATGTTAAAGTGGTACCATGACTCAAAACTTGTTATTATGGTAAAGTGGTACCGTGACTCAAAACTTGTTATTATGGTGAAGTGGTACCATGACTCAAAACTTGTTATTATGGTGAAGTGGTACCATGACTCAAAACTTGTTATTATGGTGAAGTGGTACCGTGACTCAAAACTTGTTATTATGGTGAAGTGGTACCGTGACTCAAAACTTGTTATTATGGTGAAGTGGTACCGTGACTCAAAACTTGTTATTATGGTGAAGTGGTACCGTGACTCAAAACTTGTTATTATGGCGAAGTGGTACCGTGACTCAAAACTTGTTATTATGGCGAAGTGGTACCGTGACTCAAAACTTGTTATTATGGCGAAGTGGTACCGTGACTCAAAACTTGTTATTATGGCGAAGTGGTACCGTGACTCAAAACTTGTAATCATTATATATGGTAAAGTGGTATGGTGACTGAAAATCTGTAATACAATGTTTATGGTGAAGTGGTTTTGTGACTGAAAACTTATCATTATGGAAAAACTGATCATATGTATTGTGACTGAAAATTTGTCATCATTATGGTGAAGTGGTATTGTAACAAATATGTTTACTATGAATGAAATGAAAACACACATGCTCTGGTGTGATATATATAGATATCCATTGTGAAGTAAATTGCATTGTCTGTTAAAATTTAACTTGGTCTGTAAGTGTTTAACCGACATCGACATATATAATAGCACACAAGGATTTACTTTACCTATTCATACATAGGGTATATACATAGTTGTAATTTATACAATACTGCTATTTTTACCTTGAACACAGAAGGTATTGTTTTTAAGTTCACAGATTTTTACCTGTGATAAATACTATACATTTAGAGGGGACTGGGAATCATGAACAGTTGAAAGCAGGTGAAGGTAGAGTGAACATTTGTAGCTTTACAGTACAAAGTCAGGCAATTGGGATGTACAAGAGAAAGCAACTTTGACGGAATATGTTTAAACACATGATTTTAAATTATAATTCTTTACACTTCATTTTTCTACGATTTTTTATATTGTATTAAATTTGTGTTAAAAAAAGGTTTTATGAACTTTTCTCCAGAAAACTACTTGTCAATCAGAGTATTAGAGTGAAATGTGTTATTATGAAGACTAAAAAGAATCCATTTATTGTCATTGACTTTGCATTCTGTTGATAAATGTTTATTTTTGAATTGAATCATTATTTCTTTTAGTCTTGATAGTCCCCTGCTCCCCCCCTCCTCCACTCCCCCCCCCCCCAAAAAAAAAAAAAGATCCCAAATTCATGTTAAAGTTATTTTATTTGTTGTATTTTTTCATATTGAAAAAAAAAATTTCTTTATGCTTGATTGAGTCACATTATGAGCTTGAAACAAACTAGTCACAGAAAGAAATTAACTTGGTTTTCCTCTTAAAACACAGACCATCGACTTCCTTTTAACAATTTAAAGTAAATTTATACATTTCAAATATTCTACAAAAGTTACTTATTTTGATATGGGAAAAAATGACTTATTGAAGTCAAACGTGTATATATATATAATCTGTTTTGTGAAGAAATCCTTAAAATGTCCTTTAGTAGAAAGATATACTTGTATTTCTGTAATAGTATACTTGATACTTAAGACACATCCAAATGATTCATTCCTCTGTGTAATTTAACATTGTATTTACCTGTTTATGTTACTTCCCTGAAACCAATATCCACATATCTTATCTTTGGTGTGTAGAGCAGGATACTGATATACCAAACAAAACGAAGATGAGGTCTACAACTGTAAGCTGAACCTGTTTCCATGTTATTCCTAATCATATGAGATCTATTTATGTTGTAGTAAAGAGTATTTAGGTGCAAGAACATTTCAAGATTTGAATTTCATATGTCATATGTTCTGGTATAAATTTCACCTGGACCTACATTCTTGCTCATTGTGCAGTGCATCAGGTATAAACATTTGCTATCACCTTTCAGCTGGAAACTGAATGACTACATACATGTTGAAATTTGATTTGTATCACACTATCAATGCACGGATTATTCTTGTGAAGGTTGGTATGGTGACATTAGACTCAGAAAAGTTTTTGTTTGATAGATACGTTCATACTAGGATGGTAAAATATTGATATCTTTTTGATGTGTTTGTGAGAGTACTATCAAACGCTCAATTTAGCTGTATGTTTGCAGCTGAAAGCTAAGGTAGTAATTGTTCAGGTTTTACTTCTGTCATACTAGCACCTTGTGAAAATGGCCATGAAATGATCCTGTTGATTGTAGAATCAATCTTTTACAAAAATAGCTTTGATTTTCTTGTTTTTTAGGTCATCTGACCCGAAGGGTCCGATGACCTATAGTCATCATGCTTCGTCCGTCGTCGTCCGCCGTGCGCCGTGCGCCGTCCGTAAACTTTTCATTCAAACGACTTCTTCTCAATAATTGGAAGGCCCAGGCAACTAATATTTGGCCTGTAGCTTGCTTTGATGAAGCCCTACCAAGTTTGTTAAAAAGAATGACCTTGACCTTCATTCAAGGTCACAGGGGTCAAATGTCTTTAAATCTTCAAAGGACTTCTTCTCAGTAATCAAAAGGCCCAGGCAACTAAAATAAGGCCCGTAGCATGCTGGGATGAAGGACTACCAAGTTTGTTCAAATGAATGACCTTGACCCACTTTAAAGGTCACAGGGGTCAAATATGTTAAAATCTTTAAACAACTTCTTCTCAATAACCAAAAGGCTCAGATTGCTGATATTGTGCCTGTGGCATGCTGGGATGAAGGGCTATCAAGTTTGTTTAAATGAATGACCTTGAACAACTTTTAAGGTCACAGGGGTCAAATATGTCAAAATCTTTAAATAACTTCTCAAATACTAGAAGGCCTTGGGGGCTAATACTTGGCCCATAGCATGCTGGCATGGAGCCCTACAAAGTTTGTTCAAATGAATGACCTTGGCCCACTTTCAAGGTCACAGGGGTCAAATATGTTAAAATATACAAAGGACTTCATCTCAATAAGCAAAAGTCTATGAGTGCCGATATTGGGTCTGTAGCATGCTGGGAGGAAAGGCTACCAAGTTTATTCAAATGAATGACCTCAACCCACTTTCAAGGTCACAGGGGTCAAATATGTTAAAATATACAAACGACTTCTTCTCAACAAGCAAAAGTCCATGAGTGCTGATATTGGGCCTGTAAGATGCTTGGAGGAGAGGCTACCAAATTTGTTCAAATGAATGACCTCAACCCACTTTCTAGGTTTGGCTTGCTTTTTGTCAGATGACCGTTAAGGCCCATGGGCCTCTTGTTTTTTATTTATTTACTTAAGAAGTTGATTTAAGATATATGGTGAACTGAGGGAAACACCTAGCAGAAAGATGAAACATGTTTGTTGTGTCACACAATTATGTGACTAAAATGCATGACTTTGATATCTATGATAATATCTGGACATCATTTTGCTGGGTGAACAGTTGGAATCATTTTAAGGCAGGGTATCCTTGAAGTAGCTCAGTGGCTATCTCACTGAATAACACATGAAAGGCATGCTGCATGCCATTCAGAGGAGTTAGGGTAAAGTGTCTTGCCCAAGGACACAACCACATCAGCAAAGATCAGTTCATTTCTCAGTTTCCTGAGAAACCTCAACCCTGACCTGTAGGGAGCATTGAACCACACAACTTGCATCTTAATTTTACCTGGGTCACCTTGGCCAAAGTTCCAACTAACTGAGCTACTGAGGCTCCTAGCACCCAGACACTGCTTCTCACTTCTGTTGCTGTACTTGACTTCTCAATTCTTAGCATATTGTTTATCATTCATAGATATAAATATCTATAGAGACAGCAGAAAGGATAAAGATTTCCAAGCATAATAATATAAAAAACGCATTCATTGTATGAGAATCAAAATTGCTGATAGCATTAAGGACATGAAATTTTGCTAAAGTAAAATGAGTCAGTTTTTGATCACAAGGGAAAGTCTGGCAACAGTATTTACGAATATACAATAACTGCAACATATAGCTATATTATGTAACTATAATTGGTACATGCTTGTGCCTGGCTATGTGATATTTATAGTACTCAATTTAATTTTTCAATTTGTGAGTGATTCATTTCCCACAAGAATTAAATTGGTATTCATCGTTGCCAGTTTTTCATGGAAAGAATTTTTTCTTTTTCTTTTTTGTTTTGCATTGCAATTTTGGATTACAATAACAGTGATTATTATCCTTTTACAGGCATGTATCGACGACAATCTGGACATGGTCGAGTTCCTGGTGGAGCATTCTGCCGATGTAGACGTGTGCGACAACGAGGGTTGGACGCCACTTCATGCCACAGCATCATGTGGTTTCACAGAAATAGCCAGGTATTACACACAGCCTTACATTCTGGGTTTTCTCAGAAATAATCAAGTACTTCATACAACAAGCCAAGTAGATAACAAGTTAAACATATATACATTGTTTATAATGCAGTCATACAAATTGAAGTTCAATAAGAATACTAGGGAAATGTTATTTCATTGCTTTGCCCATCCCCAACTACTTGACGTAAATTTTATGAGTCTTGTTGGTCATTTTACTGCATACATGGTTGTGTCAGACAGACTTAGTATAGCCTGGAATATCACTGACCGTAATGTCATGTGGTATCATATCATTCAGTAACATTATAGTGTCATATGGTATGTCATTAACAAGTGTCATCATTAATCCCACCATATTGTTTCTTGTACACCATGTCAAAGTTTGGTATAATTTGATGGTATTGAATGTTGAAAAATTTTGACTTGCAAGTTACCATCAATTATTGAAATTTGTTAACTGGGATATTGATCACTGATGCAATACATCATGTAATTTGGTTATATTTTCTTTATTAATTGGGAAAAAATATTCAGGGAATGAAATAAACCGCCACTGTTTCTTAGATATCAAAATGGAAACATGCATAGAGACATTGTAGGAATTTGTCCATTACTGATGGTCAGTCCAGTTCCAGATGGACCTACTTAAACAATGCCTGTTGGTATGTGAGGTAACATAAACATTTTGTAACATATTGTGTACTTGGCATACATACCATCTTCATCCTTCTGACGTGTTCATAAAAAACACACCTCCATATTCTTACTCTGTGTGCACCTCAATATAACACATCCTATTTTAAATGTAACATTTCATTTTCAGATTTAGTTATACCAGGGCTGTTTGTAATGCAGTTTGATACCTTTATTCTGTTGTTGTTTATATAACAGCTTGATTTTTAGCTACCTTTATTTGATCAATATGAATTATTCATTTTGCCTAGCCATCCTATGTTGTTTTACAGAAGTTTTATTAGGGTTTGAGACAGGTTGTCCTAGTGTTTATGGGGAGATCATTTATAATGCAGTATCAATACACTCTACTGACCACATGTAACACTAGTGTGTCTACTAATGGTGTATTACATCCTTCATTAGAGCGAGACCTCAGAGGTTAAGATACATAATAATGCCACATGTATTGTATGGCCTGTAGCACTCCACAGTACAGGAATGACTAGTGTAGACTGTTGTACCAATACTATAAACAAACATCACATTTCAACACCTGGAATTCATATAGAAGATGTTCTATTCAGGAAAGTAATATACAGTATACACAATCAGTATTCAAATCAAATAATGTAAAAAAAAAATCTTATGTACAATGTGTGTGAAATAAAGACGGTAAAATGTCTTATATAAAGTCAAGATTGTTTGGTAGTTTATCAATAGGCAGTCCTGGATGTAGGTCAAGTCTGAAATGGAATATTTGTGTCAATATTTGACCTATTTATATGGCCCTTAGTCTACTTTGAAATATGGTCAGTAAAATTTGTATACATGTACAGTTTGTACATTTAAAGGAAGTCCAGGTATGTTGTAGATTGGATTGTGAAAGAAGCACTTAAAGTGATCAAATATATATATATATTTTCATACATTAACCTATGCTAAAGTAATTGGATTCACATTGTATTGTTAGAAGAATATGATAATATACAAATTCTTTAAAGTATTAGAATACTAGTTTGTATGTAATCTAGGGACTTTTTCATTGGTTCGCGATGGGGCATTATTGCTTCATTCAGAAGAAATTTTCACGAGTAAAATTGCAAATTTTAGAAATTTGACATAAATCTGGAATAATTTAACCTGTAAATGGGCCGTTGTTGGTTCCAAAAAAGCCTTCCAAATAAGCCTGGTCTTTTTCATGTGAAACACAATTCTGTTTGTAAGAAAGCTGACATTAAACATTCACAACAGTTATAAAATAAGTCGTGTCGACATATAAAAATCACTCTAGTTGGCTTGGCTGGAGGTTTGCAGGGAATTTTTGTATTGTATGAAACTATCCATCCCAGAGCAAGTGACCCCATCACTTTGGAAATCTAAAGGCCAGTCATCAGTGAAAGACTAGTACTCTCCATTGGGCTACCCAATTACCTATCTGCCAGTATTTTTGTTTGGATATTAGTGGTGTCCCATAGGCTGAAAATGCTGTATTTATCCAGATATAAGTTTTATTTTTCTGCTATGGCTTCGAAGAAACCGCTAATATCCAGAAGATATGATTGACTTATAACCTGGTAACCTGAGTTCTGAATTGTTTGTGAAAAGTCTGCTCAAATACATACATGCTACCTTTTCAGAACTTTCAAAGTGAAGATGACACCAGGTCATATATAAACGATATCTTTTGAGAAAGGAAGACTTTAAAACAAGTTTTTTTTAAGCTGCATGCAGTTGCTGGCAAACCGATTGAAATTTTGGAATTATGAACAATTTAGAAAATTTATCAAAAAATTATGTCTGAAGATGAGCCTTGATATATTTAAAAGTTATCAACAAGAATCATTAATATGAGTATGTATATATATTTGGAGTCTCTTATTGTTGTTGACTATCGAGTGCATACTAGTTGTATGAACTTGGTGACCTATAAATGAGATAGAAATAAACATACTGTCATATACCAGTATCAATTGAACAGGAAATGAACATTTTTGTACAGTAAGTAATCTCACACACTAGATATTGGGGTCGTTCTAGTAAAATATGATTTGTATCATAAGGTTAGGACATTTCTGGTGCATTGTGATTCAGAATAGTGGACCAGTTTCAGATGTAGGATAAATACATGTACAATGTAGGAATATACATATATACATATTTGTTTGTTTTCATGAAACCTGAATAAAAACATTGACAAATGTCTAACCAAATTACTTAAACTGATCCCATATCATGTACAAAGACATCAATGTGACTGTGTTGTCATGGTTTTTCTGGTTTTTATTTGATTGTAGAATCTATATATGGAGTTATGTGTACTATGTGTAGCTTTTAATGACTTTTACCTCTGTTTTAGTTCACATACTTAAAAAAAAATATAAAAGAAAGATACATCTTGTCTAAAGTATGTTATATATTGATTGTTGAACAAGGTTTCATTTTGTTGTTCATGTAGGATGTTATAGACCAATTCATTGATATACAGTAAGTACAGACAAGCTCCATCATTCCATTAATTGTTTGTTTCAACCTTCAGAGGAGATTTCCTATAACAGAACTATCTACATGTATTATGGAGTAAGAATTGGTGAACCTTGGCATATAAGTTCTGACAGTCTACATACATCACACACACGTTCCCTGATACAGCCCTCACTGGATATATTTAGTTGTTAGGTCTATTGATAAAAACCCTGTACAGGATACTGGCATGTTTAGTGCAGACCAACAACTGGCTCTGTCAGGATCCACACTACTATTGTATTGATAAGGAAGAATTGGCATGTGTAGTACATATGAGTCTGTATCATATGTAAGCCTAGATGTTTCAATAAATTTCACTTTCTAACATCATGACTGGTCATCACCTGTTATTGACAACAGAGGATGAAAAGTGACCTATTCAGTAACCTCAGGTCTTGTGACAAGTTCAACATGTGATGTCCTACTATGGGTGATGTCATTTCAAAGAGACAACTCTTGACTGGCCCCCATCTCCTGTAGACATCATTATCAAGATTTAAGCTTTTAAAGAAGACATAAACAAAGAAAAGAAAAAAAAATTGTCATGTTCAGAATTAGTGTAGTTAAATTTTATGTTCACATTTTTTAATTCTTACATTTCTTCTGTTAAATCTAGAAAATAAGTTTTTCACTGTTATGCACTGATCTGATGTATGTCTCTGTGACCCATTGTATAAATGGACTCCAAACTAGTGACAATTTCCATGATCTATACTGACAATACAAATACTCTGTTTTTATTTACACAGCTTAGCATAGATGAGAAATAATATTTCTGTGTGATAATTCCTTAAATCTGAGTACATTGTCTTTTACTTGTAATTGAATAAAAAATTAAGTTGTTTTAACAAGTAAAGCCTTCATACACTAAGACAGGTAAATTAAGGCAGACTTCCCTACAAATTCAGGACATTTTTGACAGTGACAGGACCACTACCTATATGATTACACAAGAAATCACTGACACGTACGAAAGACACAATTTACAGAGGCTGTGGGTGTCTTCCATAACCATAATCAGATTATTAGGAGAGTTAGAACTGATCACTTCTTGATCTTTATAGAAGACAGACTATTTATAATCCGAACAAGTCTGTGAAAGGTGCTATGAGCCTGATACAAGATCCTTTTGTAAATCAAAATTTCATAAAGACGTAGTTTTCAGGTACAGGAAAGCTTTTCTTTATGTCTGCAAAAAAATATTCTAATCTTGTATCTATGTAAGTAATTAATAAATATTAATTTTGTACCTTTGATCATGAAATTACATGTAGTTGATGTTCTTAACCTTTGACCTTTTATCTACAGGTACCTCATACGTATTGGTGCCAATGTGGCAGCAGTCAATAATGATGGGGACCTACCTTTCGACATTTGTGAAGATGGAGAAATGGAAGCACTCCTACAAGAGGAAATGGACAGACAAGGTAATTTGTGAACTCACATGTACTCTGGATAAATTAATAAATTTATACATAGTTTTCTTCCATGAATAGTGATATATTTACCCCAGTGTAAGAGTTCAGGTGGTCAGTATGAGGTAATATGCTAAGAAACTTTTTACAGGTGCTCTTTTGTGATTCATAGGCAGTCATTATTGTTATGAATTGTACCTCTTTTGTTAGGAAATAGCTCTTTTCAAAGGGACACAACTGTTACATGTTTTAAAAGCAGTTAAATTTAAGTGGTCCCAAGAGCATGTAAAATGTTAAATAGACTTAATTCAAGTTGAAAATTAGTTGAAACTATCTCAGAAGCCAGGTGACCATTTCAGATTGGGAATGGAACCAAAGAAAGACAAAACTATTATATGGTTATGCAGGACTTTGGGCTATTTTTATAACCAAATTGTTTGAAATCATTTATCAGGTTTCAGAAAAATAACAATTCTGAAAACATCTCTGTCAGAAGCAGTAGCAGTCTTCATTTTATAAGTAACAAATAATAATGCCAAAATCATGAACAGAACTGTTTTAATTGCCTTGGTTAATCAAAGATCCAAGTGTTTTGTTTTCGAACCATCCCCTCTGTTCCCAAAAGTGAATTATTCTTGTTTGTCCAGAAATGATGATAACTTTTATCAGCTAGAATAAGGGAAATGCTGTTTAAGCATTTAATCCCTGCTATAATGAGCCCTACCCCTCTGTCCCAATCAATCATCGATAAATAGTGCAGATGATTGTGTTGATTAGGTGTTAGTACTAGTTTCTTTTGTTCATTTATGTTTTTGACAAAAGTTTAGATTTGTCAAACCCTATTTGATCAGCAAATTCTGAAGTCTGTATCCCTATATATTCACATGTTGTTTAGTATTAATCAGGTGCAAGTCTATATAAGTTTATGTGTACATAGTTCATGGTAGAGTCATCATTTAGCTATAAAACCAAGTCTTGTACTCTTAAGAACTACTTGTAAAAGGAAAATATTCTAACAAAGTGCAAGTCAAAGATAGAATTAATCCCAATACTTGTCACAGATAAAAGATGTAGCTTATAATTGTCAATGTACAGGTTCTAGCTAATGCTGATATCCTTACTTATATATGTATTAGCATTGAGATAAAAATCTTGATAACTATTATGTCCTCTTCAAATAAGTATTTACCCAAGAAATAGTTAAAATGTCAATGTTTATGTTTAGAAATATATCTGACTTAATTAAAATGGTTTTATTACATATTGCTTCAAATTTATTTGCCTTATCAAGGCTAATTTGCATAGTTGATTAGGTGATACCTGTCTGAGCAGTATGTATCATTATAATTAACACTTATCAATAGACTAGCTGAGAGATTGAGCAGAGATATGCTAATTATCACTAATGTCATCTATTCAGGACGCAAATCTGGGGACTAGGGGAGATTTTGCCTGAGATATCAGGTGCTCTTTTTAACTCAGTGTACCTTGTATGTCTGTAGATGGATAAACCCTTACAGGACTTGGATGACCCCAACTATTCAATAGTTAATACATTGGATAGCTTAAATACAAATTTGTCAAATGTACAATTCAAATTTTTCATAATTTATGAACAAAAATAAATTAAAGTAAATTGTCAGAAACTTGAGGTAATTAGGAGAAAGGTTCTGCTTGATGTTTATATCAAAGTTATAGTTTTAATCTGAATGTGTTTAAATTTTCTTGTTATCTATGCTTTGTGGAACTGAGGCCTACATGGTAAAAAAAGGGAACAAACACAAAGGCTTTGACAAGTGGTATGTTAAGAGTACAATTGATCCTGATAGATTTAAGATAGAGTTGATATAGATAACTGTAAAAGGTCCAGTAGGCTGTTTAGCTGATTAAACCAAGACCGCTCAGATCTGTAATGTTGTTCCTAAAGGTACATTTTATTAAGTGTTTTTACCTTAAGGGTTAACAAGATCATCTATAAGAGTAGTGTATTATGCAGTATAAGAATATTTATTATGTTTACACAGAATCTACTGGGACAGCACAATAGCTTCCGAATTCAGATTATTGAAGAAGTCAGCATTATTTTTACATTTAGTTTTCTTTATTAATTAATTGTTTATAAAGGTAGTCAGAACTTCAAACATTATAAGTGTCATTAGTGATTGGCAATTTTTAAGTGGTCAGAGCATTTCATTATTCATATTAAGCTGAGCTTGGTGGTCCATAACAAAATGAGAGCATTTCTTGTCAATTGGTATGAAGACAGTTTTCAAAGTAGTAGTTAGCCATGATATGAGTGGGAGACTGTCCAAGTTAGGCAATTAGTCAACTTCGCATGGTCACTCTAAGGATTTAGGTGGACATTAAAGTGTCACAGGCCTTGTGCACAGAGGGGTCATCTGAGTACTGACCATCTATGAACTGACAGGATGTGGTTAGAATTGTAACCAGTAATCTGTCCATTTGGTGGGGTTTGAATTTTATGGATGTCTGTATTTGGCAAGTCTAAAGTTATAGTGTTGATGAACTGGATGGGTTCGTATTTACATCATTACACCTTGACCAAAAGTTTTCATTAAACAATGATGATCTTACGGGGAGGTATACTTGGGACATAAGGAGTGGAGTTGTAGGACATTAGATGGGAAAGTAGTACAACATAGGGCATTAGATGGGAAAGTAGTACAACATAGGACATGAGGTCATGACAACATAGGTGAGGTGGGAAAGTAGTACAACATAGGACATGAGGTCGGAAAGTAGTACAACATAGGGCATGAGGTGGGAAAGTAGTACAACATAGGGCATGAGGTCGGAAAGTAGTACAACATAGGGCATGAGGTGGGAAAGTAGTACAACATAGGACATGAGGTGGGGAAGTAGTACAACATAGGGCATGAGGTGGGAAAGTAGTACAACGTTGGAGATGAGGTGGAAAAGTAGTACAACGTAGGATATGAGGTGGGGAAGTAGTACAACGTAGGATATGAGGTGGGGAAGTAGTACAACATAGGGCATGAGGTGGGAAAGTAGTACAACATAGGGCATGAGGTGGGAAAGTAGTACAACATAGGAGATGAGGTGGGAAAGTAGTACAACATAGGGCATGAGGTGGGAAAGTAGTACAACATAGGACATGAGGTGGGAAAGTATTACAACATAGGACATGAGGTGGGGAAGTAGTACAACATAGGACATGAGGTGGGAAAGTAGTACAACATAGGGCATAATGGGGAAGTAGTACAACATAGGGCATTATATGGGAAAGTAGTACAACATAGGGCATGAGGTGGGAAAGTAGTACAACATAGGGCATGAGGTGGGAAAGTAGTACAACATAGGACATGAGGTGGGGAAGTAGTACAACATAGGGCATGAGGTGGGAAAGTAGTACAACATAGGGCACTAGATGGGAAAGTAGTACAACATAGGACATGAGGTGGGGAAGTAGTACCTTTTAGGGCATTAGATGGGAAAGTAGTACAACATAGGACATTAGATGGGAAAGATGTATATCATTGGACATTAGATGAGTTAATTGTAGTGAAATGTTACAATGCTTCATGTAATCCCAATACCATTTTATGAAGAAAAAATCATTGCAAAAAATAGTAACTGCTTTTCTAAATGATCCACACAGATGCCATGAATCTCACTTCAGAATGAAAAATCAACTAAAATTTTCCATTTTCTCTTACTAGAAATATAACAAGTCCTAGGCTTATTGATTGACCAGCAGTGTGTGTGTGTGTGTGTGTATATAGTTAACTATTATAATGACTGTTTTTTTTACCATAATGACAACTGATTTGTTATTGTAGCCTGTCAAAGCTATCACAATTAAAGCCCAGTCGTAGGTTCATTCACAATTAGTATGAAGGGGTCAAAGGTCACCTCATTCATATAGCAGCTTCAACCTTCAATGCTAAATATATACACTATAAAATCACTTGAATTTACTAACCATTCTTGTAACATTCCTATCTGGTATAGATGATCAAGAACAGGCCTTAGTAGACTAGAAGTAAAAGAACTACACCACAATCTGTTATTGATGAGTACCTGTATAAATATACTTATCTGGTATTTGAGGGGTACAAACAGACTGGGCGACTTTATCTGGTATTGAGGGATGCAGACAAACCAGGGAATCTAACCTGGTATTGAGGGGTACATACAGACCAGGGGACCTAACCTGGTATTGAGGGGTACATACAGACCAGGGGACCTAATCTGGTATTGAGGGGTACATACAGACCAGGGAATCTAATCTGGTATTGAGGGGTACATACAGACCAGGGGACCTAATCTGGTATGGAGGGGTACATACAGACCAGGGGACCTAATCTGGTATGGAGGGGTACATACAGACCAGGGGACCTAATCTGGTATTGAGGGGTACATACAGACCAGGGGACCTAATCTGGTATTGAGGGGTACATACAGACCAGGGGACCTAATCTGGTATGGAGGGGTACATACAGACCAGGGGACCTCATCTGGTATGGAGGGGTACATACAGACCAGGGGACCTAATCTGGTATGGAGGGGTACATACAGACCAGGGGACATAATCTGGTATTGAGGGGTACATACAGACCAGGGGACCTAATCTGGTATTGAGGGGTACATACAGACCAGGGAACCTAATCTGGTATGGAGGGGTACATACAGACCAGGGGACCTAATCTGGTATTGAGGGGTACATACAGACCAGGGGAACTAATCTGATATTTAGTAGGCATACAGATAGACCAGGAGACCTAACTGGTATTGAGGAGTACAGAAAGACAAGGGAACCTATCTGGTATTGAGGAGTACAGACAGACAAGGGGACCTATCTGGTATTGAGGAGTACAGACAGACAAGGGGACCTATCTGGTATTGAGAAGTACAGACAGACAATGGGACCTATCTGGTATTGAGGAGTACAGACAGACAAGGGAATCTATCTGGCATTGAGTGGTACAGACAGACAAGGGGGCCTATCTGGTATTGAGGAGTACAGACAGACAAGGGAATCTATCTGGTATTGAGTGGTACAGACAGACAAGGGGGCCTATCTGGTATTGAGGAGTACAGACAGACAAGGGGACCTATTTGGTATTGAGGAGTACAGACAGACAAGGGGACCTATCTGGTATAGAGGAGTACATACAGACCAGGGGACCTATCTGGTATTGAGGGGTACATACAGACCAGGGAACCTAATCTGGTATGGAGGGGTACATACAGACCAGGGGACCTAATCTGGTATGGAGGGGTACATACAGACCAGGGGACCTAATCTGGTATTGAGGGGTACATACAGACCAGGGGAACTAATCTGATATTTAGTAGGCATACAGATAGACCAGGAGACCTAACTGGTATTGAGGAGTACAGAAGGACAAGGGAACCTATCTGGTATTGAGGAGTACAGACAGACAAGGGGACCTATCTGGTATTGAGGAGTACAGACAGACAAGGGGACCTATCTGGTATTGAGAAGTACAGACAGACAATGGGACCTATCTGGTATTGAGGAGTACAGACAGACAAGGGAATCTATCTGGTATTGAGTGGTACAGACAGACAAGGGGGCCTATCTGGTATTGAGGAGTACAGACAGACAAGGGGACCTATTTGGTATTGAGGAGTACAGACAGACAAGGGGACCTATCTGGTATAGAGGAGTACAGACAGACAAGGTGACCTATCTGGTATTGAGGAGTACAGACAGACAAGGGGACCTAACTGATATTGAGGAGTACAGACAGACAAGGGGACCTATCTGGTATTGAGGAGTACAGACAGACAAGGGAATCTATCTGGTATTGAGTGGTACAGACAAAATCAGGGGACCTATTCTTGAATTGAGGGGTATAGACAGACCAAGGGGACCTTTCTGGTATTGAGGGGTATCAACAGACCAGGGGACCTCTGTGATTTTGATAGGAACAGACAGACTAAGTGACCTATCTGATATTAATGGGTACAGACAGACTAAAGGACCTATCTGGTATTGATGGGTAAAGCACACTAAGGTACCTATCTGGTATTGACTGATAGACATTGAATAAATGAATCAAGCAGTGCTTGTTTCATAAAAATATACCGGTATTCCTTTATTTTGTATGACTAAATAATTGCGTTATTTTAGGTCTGGCTGTTTAAATACACCTTATTTTAGAATCTCTAATAAACCTTGGCACAAATATACATCTGACATTTGCAGATTTTAAAGTTTAGGACTTAATGACCTCATTCTATTATGGGAAGAACATAAACACTGTATAGGTATTTAATTGAAAAATGCATGTCAGAACTCAAAAGGCTCTACAGGTGTAAAATCAATTACAAGTGAATGTACAAGCTAATCAAATGAACTTAGTACAGAAACTTTCTTCCAGATGAAATAAATTCATCAGCTTTGTATGGTAAAGAGCCAATAGGTATACATTGGTGAGAGATTGCCTTTCCAACAGTGTAAAAATAGCCCACGATGTTTACACTGGGGGGAGCTGAGAGGGAAGAGGAGGAAAGTGGAGGGGAGAGAGTAGAAGCAAGTTTTGCTGGATAGCGAAAATACATTCTCAGATGGGGCTCTTGGAATCCTCTGTATTGCTATCAGACTTAAAAATCTGTTGTCTTAGTGAAATTCCTGAATAAAATAAAAATGAAGGAGGGAAGACACTTTCACCATGTTTATGGTTAGTGTTAACAAAACAGTTTACCGTAGTCTACTTCTCCTAGGATGTGCTAAGTAGCAGTACAGACTATATTGAAGCTAATTAGCACACTGGGCACCTAGATGTATCAAAGGGAAGAGGAGGATGTTAATTTTTGCAAGGTAGATAGGTACACATGAACTGAAGGCTGATAAATATACATTGAGTATGTGTACAAGAACAGGGGGATGCTAGCTGTTAAGATGTGAGCTTGGGCTGTATAGGGCTGTGCTTGGTGATTATGCTAAGTAACTGAATTCTGACAGGTACAATTTAGTACGGGTAGATCTGCTTGTAATGAACTTCCTACATCCCTGATATACTTTGTTTAGTTAATTTTCATTACAAGGTATTATAACTTTGTAATAAGAAATAGTTTCTTTCATTAGTAATCAAATGTTTGACTGTAGACTGTGGTTTCTGAATACATGTCTCTGAATTGGCAATTTAGTAGATGGTTGTAAAACAGCTGTAAAAATCTTGAAATCAAATAAAGTTGTGAATTTTATGACTGGTTATAAATGCTTTATCAGATAATTCTTCTAATGTTGGAACAAAAATCAAATTGAGATAAGTGTTGTTTCCTCTTGACACTGTACACCATGTGTACCTACTCTAGTTTGGAGACTGATGACTGAATGACACGAGGTATACTGGTTATAGGGAGGGGAATAGCAGAATAACACAAGGTCTACTGGCTATAGAATAGGGAATGGCAGAATAACAAGATCTACTGGCTATAGAGAGGGGAATGGCAGAATAACAGAAGATCTACTGGCGGTAATGTGGGGAATGGCAGATTAACACAAGGTCTGCTGGCTATAGAGTGGGGAATGGCAGAATAACACAAGGTCTACTGGTAGTAGAGTGGGGAATGGCAGAATAACACAAGGTCTGCTGGTAGTAGAGTGGGGAATGGCAGAATAACACAAGGTCTGCTGGTAGTAGAGTGGGGAATGGCAGAATAACACAAGGTCTGCTGGTAGTAGAGTGGGGAATGGCAGAATAACACAAGGTCTGCTGGTAGTAGAGTGGGGAATGGCAGAATAACACAAGGTCTGCTGGTAGTAGAGTGGGGAATGGCAGAATAACACAAGGTCTACTGGCGGTGGAGTTGGAACAGACTAAATGACACAATAAGGGCTGACTAAATGACAGAAGGTCTACTGTAAGTTTAGTTGTGGAGATTAGCATAATGAAAATGTCTACTGTCTGTAGGGTTGAGACAATCAGAATGACACAAGGTCTACTGTGAGTTAAGTGGAAACTAGTGTAATGATAATGTCTACTGGCTGTAGGGTAGGGATAATCAAAATGTATATAACATGGCAATTTGCAGAATGATACAGTGTCTACTGGCTATAGAGTGGGGACAGGTAGAATGGCACATGTCTGCTGGCTGTAGAGTGGGGACAGGTAGAATGATAGAGTGTCTACTGGCTATGGAGTGGGGACAGGTAGAATGATACAGTGTCTACTGGCTATAGAGTAGGGATAGGCAAAATGACACATCTGCTGGTATATAGGTGGGTACAGGCAAAATGACACATGTCTGCTGGCTTTAGAGTGGGTACAGGCAAAATGACACATGTCTGCTGGCTTTAGAGTGGGTACAGGCAGAATGACACATGTCCGCTGGCTTTAGAGTGGGTACAGGCAGAATGACACGTCTGCTTGCTTTAGAGTGGACAAAGGCAGAATGACACATGTCTGCTGGCATTAGAGTGGGTACAATCAGAATAACACATTATCTGCTAGCTGTAGAAAGGGGTCTGGCAGAATGAAACAATGTCTGCTGGCTGTAGATTGGGGATGATAGAATGACACAATAACACAGGATTGACTGAATAACACAGATATTCTGGCTGTAATAGAGGTGTATAAGAGATTGGCTGAATAAGGCTAGATTTTTTAGCTGTAGTGTTGGAACAATTTTCAGCCCAACTCATATCTGTTTGATGTGATGAAATATTAATCAACAACAGAATATTATATACAGTTACAGTATATACTGACTCTAGCACCTGATTTTATAGAATATATATTATAGGCACAGTTAAGGAATACTTATCTCATAGGGGAAAAATATAAATGTGCCCTCTGAGTTGTCATATGTACAATACATGATATTGAGAGAATGTACAATGGTACAACACTTAACCATTCAACTTTACTGAAGTGATCTCCTCTTGATACTCAAATGAGGATAGAAAAATCAGGAAATATTTGGGTTGTGATGATACAGGAAACCGACCTAAAGATACAGCCACAGCCAGGTCACAATCATTTCACAACTTGTCAACAAGTTTTCAAAAATTGATAATGTCAAAATCACTAAAATGAATATTAAACTTTGTATTAAATAAATCAGAATGTGAAGGAAATTTGTCATAAACAAATATCAAAAACATAAAAAAAAAAAAAAATATTTCCTTTATCTTATTGAATAAAGTTTGTATGACATGATACACTAGGAATTATTACTATTAGGTTAATTTGTAATTAAGTAAGATTCTGTAACAAATAAATGTAACGTACCCAGTAACTAAATTCATTGAATGTCATGCATTCAGTTTTATGACTAAGAATTTGAGGGTAATTAAATGCAGAGAGAATTTTTAACTGTCACATTTCTGGAAAATTGACTGGATAGAGCTAGGTTAACATTACCATGTCGTATATACGTTAGTTTGTTGTAACGCATCTTTGGCATTAGTGCAAATGGTATAGAATATCATTAGAATTAATTTGCAGGTGAAATAACATTTTGAATTTGATGATAGTACATTGATCAGTGGGGAAGATATATTATGCAATAGCTGTTTACCTGTATTTTCTTATGACCAGGGGTGGATGCAGACGCAGCTCGGTCCGAAGAAGAGAATCAGATGTTGGCAGATGCCAACAAATGGCTGAGTAATAAGTCCGTCAAAGAAAAGCGACACCCAAAAACTGGAGCCACAGCCCTTCATGTCGCTTGTGCCAAAGGCTACATGAAGGTCATAAGGTAGGTTATCACATCATAATTTGTAACTTAGATTTAACATACAGAACATATAATACAGAACATATAGTAATATTTGAATGGTACAAAAATTTGTTCTGTTTGGGAATCATTAAAAAAAGAATAAAATTTGTGCAGCCATTGTTTTAAGCTATTTGATAAACAATGGTACCAATATTGTCAGTATTTGACCAGATTTTTTTCGCTGTTTTTGTCTTGCTTTTATAAAAGACTAATGTGTTACTTTTCTGCTAGTGTTGGCCTCATCCATGTCATCATTACAAAATTATGTTGAGATTATTGATATCAGGGTAGTGAAATCATATGAGGTGTAACTGAAATCAGAACAAAGCAAAGATTTGGAGAAGCAAAAAAACATCTTTAAAAATTACTTTGACTTTTTTTTTATGAGGAGGAAGATTGTACAAAAAACAAACAAATGAATAACACTCAGTAATACAAGAGTTAGATCCAGCAGAGCCAGACAATTAAAACTACATCATATAGCTGTTTCATCCATCTAGGACTTGTTAGTGATGCTAGGAGCCTTCATTTTTAAGCCTAGGAGGTGATTGAAGACAATCCAAAGTAATCAAAGTAGAAGCAAAAATCTAGATGGGGAGATGCATGAGGTCCACAAGTCCATGAATTCTGCAACTGTCATATATCTGATAATTTTAGAACAATGTCTTGGACATATATGTATTGTGAACCGTACTACTATTTGAATGCATTAAAATTTGACATGCAGGTTACTGAACATGCATTCAGCTCAATGCCCTGTAGTGTTTTAAATATCATATTTATACATCAGTTAAATCAATGATTAGAAAGATTGTCTGAGAATGCAAATGACAAATTTTCTCAAATGTTATATCATGATATGTTGTAATTATGATAAGTAATTTAGTTTTAGAATGTGTTTTAAACTTAAATTTGTTCACAGTGTCCTGATACAGGCAGGCTCTGACATTAATGCTAAGGACTGTGATGGGTGGACGCCATTACATGCAGCTGCACACTGGGGACAGGAAGAGGCCTGCAAGGTCCTTGCTGAACACATGTGTGACATGGAAATTAAAAATAATGCTGTGAGTCCCTCCAACACTTCAACCATTTACATCTGTATTGATTTTTTCTGTAAAAACACCGCTTCAATACTGATTTTTGACTTTGATCTAGAACATAAGTTTTGTTGAGTCAGAATCAGCAGCACTGACACTGTTTTTACCATTGACAATTTTATTTGAGTAATGAGTTATGTCATTAAGGGGCAGATTGTTATATTTAATACTTTAGTATGGTTTTGATGTTGAAAATTAATGATTTTTATTAGAAAAGTGGAAGTGAAATGTATGGTACAGTGGAAACAAAAACAATGCTTTTTGATACTAAAACAAAAAATAAAAGTTAAATAGGGGGAACTTGATTACTTTACAGAAGATTGAACTGTTTTAATACAGGATCGTTACTCACATAGGTAATATGTTACCTGTATCAATATTTGAGACTATAACCTTGAAATCAGACTGTGGCTTGTTTCAGAAATGATATATTTTTAATTTTCAGGGCCAGTCAGCTTTTGATGTGGCTGATTCTGAGATCATCAAACTTTTGGAAGAACTGAAAATCAAACAAGCAACAGTAAGTTTCTCACCATATATATATACATAATGGACAATAAATGTTACATTTCATCCCATTTAAACCTTTGTGTCAATGAAGACTAAATGTTTAATTAAAGTGTCTAGATGTTATCCAGTTGGTATGGAAATGAGTAACTGCTCATCAAGATGATAAGTTTGGATGTGGGGTTGGGCTCAGCAGGTCAGAGATGGAATAATGCTCCTTAACAAATACATGTGGTTTGGAGGTGGGGGAATTTCAAGCTTAGGGAATTGTTCATGTGGACTTGACAAAGTTTATGGAATTGAAGTGATGTTCAAAACTCAATAACATATTGGGAATGGTTTAAGGTTGGGCAAGATTCATGAATGTAATTTTAAGGTTTGGTGGATTGAATTAAAGGCTCATTAACATAACAGGTTGTGTAGAGGTGATGTTCATAATTCATCATGTTTAAGTAGTTTAAAAATTTGTTACTGTGCATGACCAGATATGGCATTAGTTTAATAATAATGATATTGTGACACAACTGGACTGACTATGACAGTTCTGCAGAGAGGAGTATCTCTCCATTCCTCTTCTAACATGTCATCAAACTTTAATTCAGTATTTAAATAAAAAAATTCTATGCCATTTTATGAAGATATTGTGTATTATGTATTTCAGTTCAAAGACACAGCTGATGTACAGAATGAGATCATCCAACACAGAGGTCAACACCAAAAGAGAAGGTATGCATTCACTTGAGGCTTGAAATTATGCTATCAGGTCATTTGATTTGAGCCCCTGTTTAAGTTATTGATGTTAGGACAGAGGTCATCGATTTGTGTATATCATATTTGCTGCATGTTAGAACGTGTAGACAATGCTTATATAATTTAAGGTTGTCTTCCCTTACCTTTTGTTTTCCTCTTTGAAAATAATTACTGGTTTATTAGCAATGTAATTTAGAATGATGCTTAACTGCTTTTTAAAATTCAAAATTAATCTGTCCTGAAATTTTTAAATTCATATATCTCACAAATTCATATCTTTGTAGTGAGTTAATGATATGAATTTATAGATAATGCAATGAATAGAAACTAATATATTTATAAAAGGGAGACAACTGATAACTGACGTAATATTTGTCTATGCTTCAATAGCCATAGTTAATTATAGTAACATTGGATGATACTGACATGTGATCAGTCTAGTTTTGCTATATTCCACCTGTCATCTGCACTGGACCAAAATGGATCCCTAAAATATGTCCTAAAATTCTGGCTAGTGGTAGTGACAGAGTGAAATATATACAAAATTTAGACTTTACTAGAACCAGTAACTACTAGGCATCCAAAATGCAAGCAATATTACTATTAATTTCTAATTGAGTGATTCTCATTGATCGATCAACACCAGCGTTTCAAAAATTACTTATTTCAACAGATCATTTATTTATAGTATGGATATCAAATTTGATAGGATGAAAAGTAATTGTGAAAGTTGTAAAGGGTTGTAATTGAATTCGTGAGAATCATTCATATGGTAAAATGTATCAATATTGTAATTGACAAGCCTACTGACAACTGTTAAAGTTTCTAAAGCATTGCACGCCCATATTACAAGTTAGAGTATATATGCATATTGTATATTACTAGCTCTTTAAATGAGAAACATCTCACAGGTAATGTTGATGATACCTTGTGAAAAAATGTTGAGAGATTTTTTTTTTGCAGCAAATGATATTTGATGATGTTGTAGTTATCTCCCCTTAACAAACTTGGCCTAGACATGTACTAACTTGCCAAAGCCTGTTGTTTATATAGCTGAGCATTTGATTGTTGTGTTTTTTGACAGCCGGAGTGATTCCACCAGGTTAATTTTGTTTTTACTTCCACTATCTGTACAGCATTATTTGTGTAGCTATTACTGGGCTGTATGCTGTTTACAGTCAAGCATAACACATACAAATTTATATATACACTGATCTGTATGCTGTGCAGGCTAGACTAACATATATCATTTCATATACACTAACCTACCAACACAAAAAGTATGCTTCAAAGTGACTGTAATGGAACACAGACGTCATATCCCACGTTACAAGATTAACAAAGAAAATTATAGACAAAAATCACATGATATTGCTTTCATTATATATTGACTTCCACAATTTATTGCGATTGCAGTGGATGAACCTGTAAATAATAGCAGTGAACATATATGAGTGATTAGACTTGCTAGTTAAACCAAATCAATAGACCATGAAAATCAGTACATGTATCTATGAAATAGTAAACATAAAACATTGATTGTATATATGGTGACAGACTGAACCGTAAGATAACTTAATTGTTTTTAATTTAATTATCGATGACAAAGAAAAAACAAAAAAGAAAAAGAAACTTTGATAAGTGACCCCTACAGCTGGTGAAGAATGTCTGTGTTCCACTATAGGATCTGTTTTACATAAGCCTGATGTGATGTTCAATGTGATGTTACTAAACCAACCTTACAGTGTGGATTGTTGATACACAGATTGGTTTGGACAGATAATGTTTGGCCTAGGCCCAGAGTCAGTAGATGTTGTATGCTGGTGATGTCTTCTGTATAACAGGCTATATAGGCATGACCATTATAGTGTTGTATAGAAGTCAAAATACAATTGCTGATATTGCGGCTGGATCGGAACTTGAGGGATGGTAGCATATAGCAAGCTAAGGTATAGATGCTGTGGTTGGGAAATGTGTAATTGAAACAGCGTTTTAATTATTTTAGGTCTTCTTTTGAGGATAACATTGCTCTGCATTTTTTGTCTGTTGTAGTGTAGTATTTTGTTGCTTGACATAGTATTAAAATTTGCATTTTTGTTGCTTATTAAAAAGAAACAAATTAAAGATCATTGTCACTGCAGCTCCAGCAGATATACAGTTTCAGCACAATAACTTGTATTTCAATGTGTCTGAAGTGCTTAAACTTGATATGGTATTTCAAATGCTAATAAAACAATGATGCATGAATAGCTTTTGGGGTCAAAGGTCATAATTATATAAAGGTCTCATGGTTTGATTCAGTGTCATATATACTGGTGATATACTTTTTAAAGATTAAAAGGAGTTTCATCATTCAACCTATGTCAGGTGGTTAGTTGTTCAATTTTCTTTTGTCTTTGCCAAAGACATCAGTACATTGTCCAAAATCAAATAATTCTTGTCAAATATTTTTTAGTAGAGTCCTTTTTAATTGTTTATGTTTGGTTTAAACAGCCAACAGCCATCATGGATGTCTTTTTTTACATGAAAAGTTCTTGTCACTAGGTCAAATCGCAATCTCATTTCATGAAGAAATTTTTTAATTAACAATATGAAATTCTGAGTATGTTACCACTTGATTCATTTACATCTGTCCTTTTGACATAATTCATAATACAACTAACAATTGAGAGGAAAAAACAGAAAATATGAAATTACCCTAGAACTTATTGAGATCTTGTGATGATGGCCACCAAGATTGGTTTTGGATTTCTTCACAATTCTATGCCAAAGTTTTTTAACATCTGATTACCACAGCTATAGATCAGTTTGTCTACTCAGGGTAGTTGTATATAGAACACTCTTCTAACTAAACAATAAGTGTGATCAATCTAATATCTTTGTGTACCTTAATCCAACAATAACCACTGAGGCCTGTTGCCTTACAAAGCTTTGGCCAAGTATGAAATGGGGATATTTTACTCTCGCCATGCATGTAAATAGGTACTTAGAAGAAAAAGTATAGGTCCTTTAGAGTCTGACCTAGAATTATATAACAAAAAATGAAGACATGTTGAAGACGGGTTCCACTGATTTTCAAAATTAAAGTATGTGTTTTATAGATATTTAAAGGATATTGCTCCATGTGAAATCAAAATACACATGTAAATTACTGATTGTTTATGAATCAACTCAGTTGATTTTAGTAAGTATTTCAATGAAATTAGCTATGTTATGTTCAGAACTAAATTGTATTATTCAAGCACTTTGCTTTGGATTTGAGTGCATAGTTTCTTTATACGGGTTCTTGATTTAAGTTAGAACCAGTCTCTACTGCTAGAGTTGCTTCCCTTTGATCAGTAATGATTTGTGCAGTGACTGCATGTATGCTGAGCTCCTGTAGACAGTATTTGTGTGTAACATGTAGATGCTTTAATCCATCCCTAGATGATAATTCATCAGTTTCATTTCAGTACTGTTTTTCATATTTTTAGAATTATTAAACTATTCTGAATCTTTCATAACTTAATTCCCTTGGAACATTTTATCATCAAACTTTTAAATATGAATATTTCTTCATCTAGTTGATGGTATCTTTTTTCATCAATTTGTGATTTGCTCAATCATTTTAATGAATAATCTATATTTTTTGTCTGTGTGTTCTTATTTCCTGTACATTTGATTTTGTATAAGGAAATATAATCTCTGATATAGGTCCCTTTTTGTTGTTTGATTTCATTGAAACATTGTAATATTTTCCCATGAAAGTAGCAGAAGTAAGTTTTTTGAATAGTGACATTTAAGTATGTTTTACTAGTTGATCGTGAGAGTTAGAAATTCTCCTATCAGCATGATGTTTGTGCTGACATATGTTATATTTGTGTTTTTTTTTTTTTTTTTTTCTTTTTAAATTTTGATACACTATAAAGATGGTGACCTGTTCATTTTTCAAATTCAAGCTGTATGCTACTGTATAAAAGCAGTGAACTGTAAGAACAATTACAGGTAAAGACTTTTTATGTGAATTTTAATATGCTTTCAAATAGATAAATCACACCACAAAAGTGAAACTGCTAGGCTTCTAAATTGATGTAGGTATATATCATGACTCATAAAATACATATACTGCTAATCGAACATTTGAATACTTTCTCAGCTGACATGTTTGTCAAGACTATAAAGAACAGTAATATACATGGTTCTCAGGGCTTCATGTGTAGAAATATCAGTTTTCCTAGAGTCAATGTCTTCCCGATGAAAGAGTATGCTAAGTGTTCATTGTTGTGGCTGCAGACAGAAGTATGGTTGTGATCTGTATCAGTCTGCATGTTGTCTGTTTTAAATGTGTATTTTTGTTTTTATTCATTTCCTGTGTGATCAACCTTTACTTTAATCCTATCTCTAAAACTTGATTTGAAAACTTTGTAAATTTCCTACTTTCCTTTCCTGCTCCATTTCAATTAGGATATATTTTTCACTAATGCATATTTTTGGGACTGTCATAACATGAATTTGTTGACCTGCTGATAAAATTTGAAATACCAATGTACCATAATAAGCTGCAATACTTTTCAATTAACACTGTCAAATGCTGTCCTCTTTAAACTGTATTCTGCATTTATATCTAATAGAAAAGTTGTTTCATTCAGCGAAAATTCTTTGAAATTTAGTGTAGTTAACATGATTAAGCAAAGAAATTTTGGTCTTGCCTGTTTTTTTTGTTTTTTTGTTTTTTTTGATAAAAATAAAAAGACTAGGACATTCAAGGACATTTACTTGGTGTTGTTGACATGATATTTGAACTGTTTTTCCACTAAAAGGATTTCCTGTTGTAATTGGTTTATACACGCAGCGGTTAAATGATCAGAGATTCTTCACATAGTTTTCATGTTGAAAATCATAGATTAGGTATGATTGCAAATTAGCAAAGTATGTGTTGACTAAAGAAAAAAAAAAAATTTCCATTGTGTAATAAACAGCAATGTCATGCAACTTAAACATTTAGTGGTTTTAGAAATTAAAAGTTCTCTGGCTATTTCTCCTTGTAGGAAACAAACCTTTAGTGAGTTACAGATCTTGATGTGGAATGTCAAAGTTTAGACATATGTTTAGGATTCTTTTATACTTTTCATTCAGTTTAAATTCAAGTTAGATATTTGAATTGCTGTCCATCAGCGTAAGTAAGGATAGGTAACATTTAACTGCCAAACCTGTGGTAATGGGCTAATTTTGGCAGAACATATGTACTATGCATTGAGATGAAAAGAACATGTGTGGTGTTTGTGGATTTACCTAGTAATATAAGAAGACAAGAGAACCATTGAGGATTATAAAGGATTTTGTGATATTGTGCAGTTGTAGGATATTGTAATGTGAATGAATGCAACATTAGTTGTCATAGATATGGCTGTTACTTAGTCTCTGTCTTGGATTTTTATCACTCTTTATGAAGACAAGATTTATCTTACAAGGAAAAAAAAAATACTGAGCATGATCAACTCAAGGGATAAAAGTAGCAAATTGTTTGGACTGTTGAAATATTTGTGACTCACATGATGATGGTTTCGTTAAGGAAATAATGCAGATCTTCGTTTTTAAAAAAATTACCAAGCTACATGGTGGAGAATAGGAGTTACTAAACATTTCAAGGTGTTGTTTTCTATATACTATTATCTGTGTTGGAGGTTTGTTAGGAGCTTCATTTATCACTGCAATATAGCTCATGTGCAAGGAGAGGATGTGTATTTGCCTTATTGTTTCTTATGCATGGGTCAGCCAGGTATCACAGGTAAAACGTCTGAAGAACAAACACCTTCCCGATTAAAGCATTGTTCCACATGGACGACTTGATTGAAATCTAGAAATTACAATCAGCCGTGGTTACTTCACAGTGGCCCCAGTCTGGAAAGCCACTGATCAAGTAAACCTTTGTTGTTTTCACCATTGACAGATTAGAAGTGTTGTGTGCGCATAGTTTTAGTGTACTATACAGACGCTAGGTAATATCTGTCACGAGCCAGTTTATTTATTAGAAAAAACCATATACAGCATGTATCAATATAACCTAACGACAGTGAAGTACAGTGAAGTAATGTATCTGATGACAGAATTTTAATGTCTGAAGTTCCTAGTCATTGATTCGTATAACAAATGACAATTGTGACTTTCACCTGTGAGGAAGCTGTCACACCTTTTCTTATGTCATTGGTGTAAAAGGTGGATTCATTGACAATGATTAAATTCTAAATTTTGCTTACTCAGCCATCAAGGTAATCTCCTCACAGTTGTTTCTGTTGCATGGATTTGTCTCCAACGATATGCTTCTTGTTTAGGATAACCTAATTCAAAGGGACATAACTCACTGCCTGGTCATTGACCTAGCTTGGAATGTTGTGGGATCAGCCATTTATTTGAAGGGACACAACTGTGTCTGGTTGATGATACAGCCGAATGTTGGTGGATATAGCCAGGAGGAATTATGACAGTACTTGTTTATCTGTATCAACTCATAGGTCAAGAGGTCATCAAAAGAAAAGCTGCAAGTGTATATAGACACAAGGGTTAAGAAAAGGCCTGAGGACAGGTGAAAAAATTAATTAACATAAGTATCTAGGTGAATGCAGGAGACAGGACAGGCAGATACTTGAGGCTGAATATGTGGACCTACCAGGTAGACACTGGTAAATAGTACAGAAACTGTAGAATTTTCAAGGAATCTTAATTCAACATACGTATAGGTTTAAAGGTCAAGGTCAAGTTGTTCGTTTTATTCAGACTGGCATAATTTTCTTTAAAAAAGTGACTCAAAGCAGATAATCTGATGTACCGGTGTCATGGAAACTGAAATCTGAAGAAACTTGTGTAACTGGCAGCAGTCAAGGTCGTTACAGTGACAAGTCAGGACAAGGAAATTTTTTTGTTGTCTTGAAGAATGTGGAATTTAAGATACATGTGACTCAACAAGGCATACGTGCAGGTTTATCTGTTACACATTTTCTGTTTGTTACCTGATGAATACCTAGGTAGATCTACAATACTGACCCAGTGTAAATATGGGTTGTGCAAGGTAGGCTTCACCATAAGGCAAGTACCTACAGTTCTCTCTATGTCTTAACTGTAACTGTATTAGTGTAACAGTACACAAACATAAATGTAGTGTATATATGACTGCAGGCTTAAAACAATAAACTACAAAATATTTTCTTAAAATTATAATCACTTAACTTTGGTATCAGTTTCATATTTTATTTGGTACTATTGACAGATATCTAAATGCTTGTGGTACACACCTATAAATGTCAGGTATTTCACTCACTTAACTGCAGTCCTCTGCACATGTGTGTGCATAAATATGTACTGTACATTACATTGTTGGTGAAATCCCTCTTACTCATCATGCTGGGAAGTGAGTAATCTATTGAAAATGTTGAAAATTAAACATAGGTTTTGGGAGTCCACAGTGTAGTGACATATACATGTGCACACATATAAAATTTATGCTTGCTGGGATAAAACCTCAACACAACGTAATTTAATATCTTGGTGTTATCTGGTAAGATGGACTTCATTGAAAAGGAAGGTAATTCAAAACTTCAAAATTGTTCTTAGAAGCCTATATTTTTATTTTTTTTTTCAATTTTTTTTTAAAACTAATAATAACTTTGTTAGGGATTGTTTATTGCTTTTTTTTATTTTTTCTTCCTTGGAAATTTTTTACCTCTCTTGATTATACACCTCCCTTTGAAACATTGAATTGAGATTTCTTTTGAAATTGTTGTGTGTTTTGAACAAAATCCTGTTATGCATTGCACATTGTGAAGCTTGGGTTTGTTGTTTCAGTGACTTTGAGTGATGTTTTTTGGCCTCTATTTTGTGCCGATTCATGTATCTATGTGTCATTGTATGTATAGATTGTGTCATGCTGTTATCAGTATTGTTGACATGGAAATATACATGTTGTTGACTTGGATTTTTTTCTTCTTTCTCTTGTGTAACTATCCAGGCCAGTGACTACAACAATAACAAATCTTGACCAACCAGACACTGACCCCAGGTATATGTACGGGGAATGCCTTTGTTTCTACACCTTTACGTTAATCTGACAGCACTGTTAAAGCTTCTCCCAATCCCTCCAATGTTTGGCTGACAAGGGCTATGAGCCCTCCAGCCTATGTAACATTCCACCATTCTTACATATGCCCTTTCCTTTGTCCTGTACTGTTTTTCAATCACTGTCTGAATTTGGTATCCGATTGAATCAATGGGGATTGTATTTTCATGAGACACTTTGGCTAATTTTGAAAAAGTCAGAAAAATACAGATTGAAGACTCAAAGATTGTCTATTAAGTAATAAAGGAATCAGAAGAGGATTTGTAGTATATATACAGGATGAAAAGTTAAGACCATCAAAACATTTTATGATAGAGGTTCTTTTAACGATAGAAGTTGAATAGAAAACTGTTCTATATGTTTATAGTACAGGGCAAGTAATGATCAGCATTACTATCTTAAAAGGTATGTATATCATTTTGGTGTAGAAACATTGACTCTATAGAAATCAACTGCATACCTGGTATGTACAGGTGAGGTTTGTGGTAGGATATAAACAGGTATGTATTTTATTTGAGGTAAGAAGTTTAGCAGGGACCTTTTTAGCAATATATAGAAGTGAACTATGTAGGACATATTGGTTTGTGGTGTTGGATATGTTTAGCAAGATATAGGATAATCATATCAGTGATGTAGAATTGTTCTTGGTACGACAAGTTTAGAAATATATATAGCAGTATAACGGTCTTGTGTAGGTGCTGTTCAGTGATGTAGAATTGTTCTCGGTAGGACAAGTTTAGCAACATATACAGCAGTATAACGGTCTTGTGTAGGTCCTGTTCAGTGATGTAGAATTGATCTCGGTAGGACAAGTTTAGCAATATATACAGCAGTATAACGGTCTTGTGTAGGTCCTGTTCAGTGATGTAGAATTGATTTAGGACAAGTTTAGCAATATATACAGCAGTATAACGGTCTTGTGTAGGTCCTGTTCAGTGATGTAGAATTGATCTCGGTAGGACAAGTTTAGCAATATATACAGCAGTATAACGGTCTTGTGTAGGTCCTGTTCAGTGATGTAGAATTGATCTCGGTAGGACAAGTTTAGCAATATATACAGCAGTATAACGGTCTTGTGTAGGTCCTGTTCAGTGATGTAGAATTGTTCTCGGTAGGACAAGTTTAGCAATATATACAGCAGTATAACGGTCTTGTGTAGGTCCTGTTCAGTGATGTAGAATTGATCTCGGTAGGACAAGTTTAGCAATATATACAGCAGTATAACGGTCTTGTGTAGGTCCTGTTCAGTGATGTAGAATTGATCTCGGTAGGACAAGTTTAGCAATATATACAGCAGTATAACGGTCTTGTGTAGGTCCTGTTCAGTGATGTAGAATTGATCTCGGTAGGACAAGTTTAGCAATATATACAGCAGTATAACGGTCTTGTGTAGGTCCTGTTCTGTTCAGTGATATATACAGTATAACGAGGTCCTGTTCAGTGATGTAGAATCTCGGTAGGACAAGTTTAGCAATATATACAGCAATATATACAATATATACAGCAGTATAACGGTCTTGTGTAGGTCCTGTTCAGTGATGTAGAATTGATCTCGGTAGGACAAGTTTAGCAATATATACAGCAGTATAACGGTCTTGTGTAGGTCCTGTTCAGTGATGTAGAATTGATCTCGGTAGGACAAGTTTAGCAATATATACAGCAGTATAACGGTCTTGTGTAGGTCCTGTTCAGTGATGTAGAGGTCCTGTTCAGTGATGTAGAATTGATCTCGGTAGGACAAGTTTAGCAATATATAGAGCAGTATAACGGTCTTGTGTAGGTCCTGTTCAGTGATGTATTGATAGGACAAGTTTAGCAATATATACAGCAGTATAACGGTCTTGTGTAGGTCCTGTTCAGTGATGTAGAATTGATCTCGGTAGGACAAGTTGTATATACAGTATAACGGTCTTGTGTAGGTCCTGTTCAGTGATGTAGAATTGATCTCGGTAGGACAAGTTTAGCAATATATACAGCAGTATAACGGTCTTGTGTAGGTCCTGTTCAGTGATGTAGAATTGATCTCGGTAGGACAAGTTTAGCAATATATACAGCAGTATAACGGTCTTGTGTAGGTCCTGTTCAGTGATGTAGAATTGATCTCGGTAGGACAAGTTTAGCAATATATACAGCAGTATAACGGTCTTGTGTAGGTCCTGTTCAGTGATGTAGAATTGATCTCGGTAGGACAAGTTTAGCAATATATACAGCAGTATAACGGTCTTGTGTAGGTCCTGTTCAGTGATGTAGAATTGATCTCGGTAGGACAAGTTTAGCAATATATAAAATTGCTGTATGCAGGATATGTTAAACATTATAGAATGGATGTGTATAGGACATGTTCAGTGATATAGAATATGATTGGAGGATGATTGTAGGACATCTTTGTGTTCTATGAAGGTTAGACTTGATAGAATGTTAATTTCCTGTGTGTATTCCTCAGACAGTGATACAGCCTTATTTCATGTGGCTGGTACATTTTCAGTTTGTTGTGATTTTCCTGTTTTGGTGATGTCTGACTTTCCATCCAGTAGTGTGTTTTTCTAAGTTCTGTACTCCACCCATTGCAGTGTAAACAATTAGGTAGCTTCTTTCGTATTATACATGAAATTTTATTTCAGCATGTAAAATTAGATTGTTGTGATTTTGTTATGTTTTACTCAATTAATTGTGCACTAAAACATTGTTGTTGGAGCATGAATCACTTTTTACTTTTCTGTATAGACATATTGTTTACAGATTCATTTATTCATTGAACACTGATAATGAAAAAGATTGTTTTCAACATAAAACAAAGCTATATGTTATCAACCAGGTATCATTGGCTGGTTTTTCATAGAGTTCAAGAACATGTACAGTAAGGCCTTTGTTTGGCTGTGGTCAGGTGGTAGCAGTGTCGTGATTGATATGCAAAGAAATGAAATACTTGAGACAAATTAATAAGAATTAAACTTTTTCAAGTCTACACACTGTTCCAAACTGGCCCTACATTGACAGGGTCTTTATACTGTGATAACTCTATGCTGAATTTGGACTCCTGTCTGGGGGTTTACTGTCTCTCTACAATAGGGACAGTGGTTACTCTCTCTCTATAATAGGAACAGTGATTATGTCAGATCAGAGTATTATAGAGGAACAGTAAATATGTAAGAGTATTGTAGTGGTATCCCTGATCTTGACCCATGAACTTTGACTCCTGCCACACTGACCCCAAACAACTTTCTAGACAAGTCTGTTCCTGGTTCATCTCAAAGATTTTTCTTGGGACAGATCCAGTGTTATAAACTGATAATTTTTTGTATGGGGTGACTGTTGAAGGTGGATAAAGTTGGATATTAATACCGAAGCCTCCTTTTACCTTTCAGAGCATTGTGTCATTCCTAGCATTATATTTGTTCATCATCAGTACATGAAATGTCTTGTAGTTCTCATAACATATCTTGAGTGTAGACAGGTTTGTTTTTATCGATGTTGTTCAGGTGTTCATAGGAACTACATTTGTATTCTAATGATAGATTGCTGATACATGGTCATGTTAAACTGCTATAAAAGTTTTATTGCATTAATCATGAAATCATAGAATAGGAAAGCATTGTACACTTGCCAGTTGAATTCTTTGATAAGTTGATAAATGGATTTAAAAAATAAATCCATCTATGAGAATGAGGAAGTTTTTGTTAGCTTTACATGCTAAACAAACATGTGTAAATGTAATGTAAAGCATCCTATATAATAAATTGTGTTTAATGGGTCCTTGTAAAACCCCCTTTATCAAAAACAAATACAGGTAACAGATGGAATAATGCTCTCTCATATTAAATTAAAAATCTCTCATTGTGTGAATTTTGTATTGGACTTGAATTTGCAGGCCTTTAGTCAGTCAAAGTTCCATTGTTTTATTATATGTAGAATTGATGTATTTTTTCCCATAAATGGAAGTGACCTTTCCATTATGTCATTAGAGTAAACAGTAAGTAAGAGAATATTGGGTTCTTTAATCATAATTGTGTAAAATTGTAACTTAGAAGTGAAGTACAATTCTGAAACAAAGGTTAAGTCATGATCAAAACAAAGTTCAAGATTTGATTTCAAACAATTTTCTATATGAATTTATGAAACTGCTTTGGATTAGTGGTGGATGTCTGTAATCCTGGTACAAAGAAACTGTTAGAATATATTTCCAAAGAGACATATTTTGTTTTAATTTGACTTTTCTCTTGCTTCACCATCTGCAGGAGTTCTGTAACACGTATGAGTGGGGACCAGAAGCAGAGTGTGACACTGAAAACCAAAGAGAGAGGAGACCCCAACCTCATCCACCAGACAACACCAGAGAGTGTTAGTGAAAAGGATCCCACGAGCAAAACCAGCTCCAGTTCAGAAGGCGAGGCTGAAGAATCATCAGAGTCAGAGACAGGTAAAAACAAATTAAAAATGGAATTGTTAAAGGTGAAAAAGGCAACAAATATACTTGTGTTGGCAACTTTGATAAAACAAATTGTATGCAAATGAGAGAGAATTTAATAGATGAATAGAGAAAGGAATAAAGATACAGTAATTATGTCTGAGTATTTCAGGGATACAGTAATTGTGTCTGAGTATTATAGATGGACAGTAATTACGTCAGATTACAGTAATTATGTCTGAGTACAGTAATTATAACTGAGTACAGTAATTATGTCTGAGTACAGTAATTATGTCCGAGTATTTCACGGATACAGTAATTGTGTCTGAGTATTATAGAGGAACAGTAATTATGTCTGAGTACAGTAATTATGTCAGAGTATTTCAGGGATACAGTAATTACGTCAGATTACAGTAATTATGTCAGAGTACAGTAATTATAACTGAGAACAGTAATTATGTCTGAGTATTTCAAGGATACAGTGATTATGTCTGGGTTTAGTAATTATGTCTGAGTATTTTAGGGATACAGTAATTATGTTTGACTGAGTATTATAGAGGTACAATAATTATGTCTGAGTACAGTAATTATGTCTGAGTATTTCAGGGATACAGTAATTATGTTTGACTGAGTATTATAAAGAGACAGTGATTATGTCTGAGTAAAGCAATTATGTCTGAGTATTTCAGGGATACAGTAATTATGTCTGAGTATTTCAGGGATACAGTAATTATGTCTGACTGAGTATTATAGAGAGACAGTGATTATGTCTGAGTAAAGCAATTATGTCTGAATATTATAGAGATAAAGTAATTATTTTCTGAGTATCAAAGCAGGACAGTGATTATGGTTAAGTATTATAGAGGGACAGTAATTATGTTAAATTATTATAAATGGACATTTGTTATGTTAGAATATTATAGAGGGGCAGTAATTACGTTAGAATATTGTAGATGAACTTTGGACCAAAGTAAGAATCTGCTAGAAATAGACAGTAAAACATTCCTATAATGTATTATGTAGAGTTGGTAGAATTATGAAAAAAAGGTACATTGTGAAATATAATGTGGAATAAAAACAGAAGAACATTGTTCAGAATTATTTGTATATTTATTTTTAATTTTCAGAAAAACAAAATGCAATCAATAACCAAACCTCAGGTGTTAAAAAGGTAAGTGGACAAAAAATAGGTAACGTCTCATACAGCAACAAACTGGCAAATCAGGGTACAATATTCACATGGCAACATTTGCATTTTTCATATTTTCTTCAATCTTTGTCATATTTGATTGAAAACATCCGTGACTGGAAGATTCTCTTTTGGAAAAGTTTTTATTACTACTTTACTAAAAACACTTGTAATGAGAATGGTTATAAAATGATTTGAAATAGATAGTGCAATTTGAAGAATATACTTGATTAGTAGAAAATCTGTATAAGATGCATAATTTGTCATAAAAAATAAAACACTGATTAGAAACTGCTTGCGCAAGCTTTTATAAGGTATTTGTCTTAACAATGCACTGGTCATCACCCTTTAGAGGAAAAACGGAATTTTGATAAATAGATGTTAGATAGGGATAGATTACCAGGTAATTAGAGATGTAAGTTGCCCTGTAGTGATGAAAAAAATAAAATAAAAAAAAAACAATAGGTCAGTTAAAAATGGTGATTTGTAAGGGAAATCACTCGAAGTACAAAGGTAATTTAAATATGGTGTTCTGTCCTTAATAGCAGTTTATGTTATAAATAGCCTATTTCTGTGTTCACTAAAAATCATTATGAGGAATAGTATTCTTTTACTTCATTGAAAATGATGCCCTTTGAGGAATAAAAATCCAGGTCAGTTTAGGGCTTTAGCATTAATTTTGAAGTCTATTGATCATGATATTTTATCAGAAATAACTATTTCACAAATGAAATAGCTTTGATAATCACTTATGAGGCCAAAGGTTTACTTAGTTTAGCTGAGCATTAGAACTAATTGGATTTAATTGCTTTGGCCGTTAGGCAGAGACTTTGTTGAATCTTCTCTTTGTTGACAAAATGTACTTACCCAGGATCTTAATTCTGCACCAGAAAGTTAATTTGATTGATGAAATTTTTTTTGTTTGTGTTTGTTTTACACAAAGTGTTATAACTATCATTGATCTATACATATCTTTAGCACAATTTTTTCACTTTTCTGTAAAATTACACATTTTGCAAATTCTGTGCACAAATATTTAGAGATATCCCAGTGTATTATGTTTGTTCATTTTCTGATTCCTGCCTATTGGTCATTTTCTCCCGACATAGATATTGTGATGATGTGAAATAAGCACTGGTTAGTGTTGATTGTGGCTTTGCTTTCTTTCCATTGCTTGGCACGATAGGTCCACGATAAACCTAGCACTACTACTGTTGAAATCCAGAAACCTGAAATGCCTAAAATCGATGAAAAAGGTGAATTGGGACAAATTTCAAATGACCTTGATACTCAAAATGAGGCAGATAAGGTGGAAATAAGTATCAAGGACCAAGTGCCCCGAATTGATCGAATAGGAGATGGTGATAATCAGCTGACTGTAAGTAACCAATCAGGTGGCCCGTATAGTAGTCTAGTTCTTACTGTCTTGCTATATCCTAGACCAACAGCTATATGGGACTAGAATTTGTGATATTTGTGGGAAATATTTATTTCCGCTTTAATGTGTAACGTGTGTATTTTTGGTTTTTCATTTACTTTTTCTATATATCATAAACAGCAGGTTTTTTTTTTTTACGATTTGTGGCATTTTTTTTTTATGTTAATTTATGTTTTATTCTGTGTCCGCAAAATATATTTCATTGGTATTTGAAAAGGCAGAAGGGCAACGTCAACATCAAAGGAATCTTTTGAGGGATGATGGTTGGGAAGGGGAGTAACATTTCAGAAGTTTTCTTATTAGAAGGAGAGCAACTACATAATGAGCCGGTTTCTTCAAGATATATTTTACAATTATTTGACAAGACAGCAGGAACTTCACATTTTAGGCAACTTCAACAAGGGAAGAAGGACAATTTCTCCTACTTTTTAGTTTAGAGAAAAGGGCAGAGTTAGGCATTTTATGAAAAAAAAAACTGTTTGGGCAATATTCTAAAAGAAAGAAGAGAAAGAGGTTAATATTTCTTATGTATTGTGAAAGTGGGGAGGGCAATATTCAGTCATTTTTTAATGGGAAGTGCATATCTGTATTACATAAAAATTGATGTGTACTGCATATTCCATAAATTAAAAAACCTGCTGACTAATGAAGTTTTTATTTCATTCTTGCAAATTCTTTTCTTGTTTTAATTGATATACTTGTTTCTTGTGTCTTTAGTGTGTTTCATATTCACAATATTCTTCATATGTATCACTAAAGAACATGCTAGATAGCATTTAAAATTGTTAGTGATATATAATCCTGTGCTAGCAATAGTTATACTCTGAAGTCTGAAAGCAGTAAATAGAAGACATAATTAATGAAATTGAATACCTGTCTAGAGTAGCCTCCCCTTTCCAACTGTTGCTGGCTTTTTGCCTGCTTTTTGACTTCTGCTGTCATTAGCATGCTTTACTCCTGCTCATAGAGCATCTGATGGGAGCAATACTGTTCATGTTGAGGGCTGCATGGGTTTCAATAGACTTACTTACAAAACTGGCCCAGGGGAGATAAGACATTTGAATTTATGGAAACTAAATTTATCAGATATTGCTGTATTAATTTTAATTGTCTTGAAGATTATAGATGACAAGTTCATTTGTCACACATGAATGATGTTTTCACATGTAAAACAATAATGTATTGTAAGTCCAGTGGGTGTAATTGTTTGTATCCCCCTCCTTAATAGTTGTTTGATGTTTTTTAAAGATTTTATCCAAGATCTGTAAAACCATAGCAAAATTCTGTTGTTAATCGCGGTATGTTCTCTAGATTGGGTGGACTGGTGTATTGAATTAAACTCTTTTATTCAAATATTGATTGATACCTAAGGCCATAGAAATGGTGCGATAGATTCAATAGAATTGGTTAGTGTGCCTTCTACTGACATAGACAGGGGTTCTCACTTGCTTTGCTTGCAAACTTATCTCAAGGCCAAGGAGAAGGAACAGGACAAGGTGGAAAAGGAAAGCGATGAAAAGAAAGAAGAAATAAAGGAAACCGAGGAGAAAGAGGTAGTTCCTCCCACTCCTGCTAAGGACGATGGTCTAGATACAGGCATGGCCCCAGTGAGAGAGCCAATCTCCAGATCCATAAGTGCCCCTGAACCTCCCCTGCCAGCTCAGGAACAGGTAGTGTTTCAGGGGCAGATAACTGTTGTGAATCTGACATTTGGAAGGCTTCTGTTGCTAGTTTCTAGAAAAATCTAAAATGAGCTACAACTAACAGCATGAATTATGTCTGAAATCTGTATACATACATATTTGCTTAGGATTCATTTACTTTATTTATTCAAATAAACGCCCAGAAAGGTAGACATTCTTCTTTTAAATAAGCCAAGATTGGAATGTCTGTAGGTGAGTGATACACCTTAACTTGCACTGAAATCATTATGAATCGAAATTTTTGTGTTTCTTCTATAATTTTTATTCTGGTATACTTAATGTGTTTTGTTTTGGACTCACCTGTATCCTTGTTGTCTGGTGCACACATGTGAAGATATTTAAACTGGACACCTAGTTTATGTTTTGAATAAGAAACTCAAGGGGCGTTTGTTAGAATAAATACATTATCCTTACTTTCGTTTTATCATTTCACATGTTTTGTTTGTGACATTTTCATTACAAGATTTCTATACATATATTTTGTGACAAACATGGTCTAGTTGTATATTTCTCAACCTTTATCAGCACTGGTACACACAATTACACAATCTACGCAGTTTTAAACTACATGTATTGGCATTGTTTAGAACTAAATAGTAATATGAAGGCAGTGCAGATTCTTGGCAGACTGTTCAAGACTTTAATCACATGTTGTGGTGCATTTACACTTCTCAGACAATCAATATATGTAATTAGATCAAAATTTGCCTCAAGTCATTTTCTCATTCAGTTGTTTATTTTGTTTGTTTTTTTCTTTGTTGGTAAAACCTCCTTATTTTTGCTTTAACCTGACTTTAGATTCTGTTATATGGTGTTTTTGTAAATGAGAACTTCACACTGAAAATAACTTTCATCTTTTCATATAAACTGAAAGGGATGAACTACCTGTAACATTCATGAATCATGAGAATATGTGTTGTGGTGTGACCTATCTAATGATCCTCTAAAGGTGGCTTATAGACTACATGTAGCTTTATATCACAAATCTTTCTTACCTCCCTTTCCTGTTATTTGATTGAATGCCAATACCTTAGTGTTTTGGTGCCTGTATTGTTTTCTGATTGCAGCAAGAGTGAAATTTTGTCCTGTTTTCAATGGAAAATTACATTTCAGTTATTATTAAAAAAAAGATATTATGCTTTTTAAAAAAATTGAGAGCGAAAAAAGAAAAAAAAAAATACACATTGGACAATATATCAGAAATATAAGAATGTGTGTATAATTGAAACAGGACAGAAGTCTGTTTTTTGTGTTTATGTTGATCGTTTACTGGCTATTGTGTTGACCTCCAAGCATGATATCCCACAGGTCCCCCTCCCTAACGAGATCAGTAAGCCCACCAACACCAAGGAGGTACCGTCTTGGCGTGCAGGGCTTAGGAAGACAGGCAGCACAAGTCAAGTGACAGGGTCGGTTATGTCAAAAGAGAAAGAAACTGACAAACCCTTGGCGCGGTCCGCGTCCAGTCCGCGACTCGACAACAACCAGGTACCCAGCGGAGGTTTTGCAGTAATGATTTATGGTTTACAAAAAAAAATACGTTATTATTTCCCAGATAAGATACTTACTAAACTGAATTTTCCACCTCATTCCAAGTGCGCATGACTGCATGGTTGAAGGATGGTTTTAACAAGGATTGAACATTGTTTATCTGATGTCATTTATGTAAGAGTCTGAGTGACAAAGTTAAGATTGCTATTTGAAAATCAAAACAAAAGAAAAATAATATGTAACCATGAAAAACTATTCATTTCATTATCGTCCCTGGAATAAATTGCATAATACAGACACACATTAGGTGAAATAATTGTAAAGTAAATGTTAGTTGCTGGTGTGTGTGGTTTCCATGCATGTTATACATGTGTATTGTGTTATTTGCTTATTAAATCATTCATTCATACCATCATGAGTTCATGTGATCAGTTCTTTTACAAAGCAAAACCAAAATGTCAGAAATGTATTTGGGGTAAATTTGAACACTAAGACATTAATTATTGACATTGATGAAGTGGTGAAGTCTGCATTATACAAGTCTTACCAACCAGGAACAGTGCCTCGATATTTATTATACATACAAGGATCATGTATTGTATATCTATTCTTTAGTTTAAAAGCAGCACCATTTGTATAGATATGTGTAGTATATAAAAACTAAAATCATCATGTTTTATGGTACTATGTTCAAATTTCTGTCTCCGAAGTTGTAAGAATTCTGTGGTTGGTTTATCTTGACTTCAGCATACTATAAACTGATTAGATTTAACTTAGGTATGTTACTAACGGGAGGGGAAACAGGTGCTTGTAAAGTTATCTTCTGTACCAATATTTTAGAATAGTGTCTTATTTCTTCTCTGATAACTTTGAATTTCATAAGGTCAAGTCCAAAAATAACATGTCATTCCTTCCAATTTAAAGTTATATATTTCTTTGTGAATTTACAGGACAAGTCGGGACACAAGGTGTCATTCCCCGCGTCCACTGTATCGGAGACATCTGATTCACGATCCACTGACAGGTATAGTATTTGTGTGGTTTGTAGCTTGTATTGTTTACATCCACAAGAATTTTCATGAGTAAATTAGTTCATGAACTAAGATGAAGTGAATCATTGAGTTTATATTTGTGTTTAGGGGGTGTGAGATATCTTTTGTAGATCTGCATTTCTCGTGAAGAGTAGTTATCACTCAGCTCTTTGTTACTTACCTTCAACCTTAATCATATGTTTACTCATCAGAGTCTTTCAGCTTAAGATTGCACAGTGCAAGGCCATACTAATCAAGGTTACTAAGTTAAGGTCATCTAGCTATTTCTCAGCAGTAACTCAGCTGAAGGCCACTCTGATGATGGTTACTTAAGTTCAAGGCCACCCAATTCATTGAAACTAAGCTCAAGGTCAAGTATCTCAAGGTTATTAATTATATTTTGTAATGCTATACCTTACAGAAAGAATGATTCTGTTGAATAGATATGTATTGAAATTGTATTTATTAATTCACTCTATGATTCTATAGTCCCATACTTATTGGATTAGTCAACATTCCAATTCTGGTCCATAATTTTAACTTTTTTTAGTATAAATATGGTGATTTTGTTCTGTTTCCAGGAGACCGGTCCTATTTCTGTCTGTTTTCTTTCTCTTTTGTCTATTTCTGTTCTGGCTTTCTCACTTGTGGCTGTTCTATTATAAATATCTGCATTCCTTTTGTTTCCTATAGACAGATACTTTTCCTACCTGTGTAACAACATATCTAGTATGCTTATTATAAACTAGGATAGATATTTTTTCAATGTCTTTAGATTTTATTATATAGGTTTTAACAGCTATATATTTATACATTTTGACCAATCTTGTGAAGTTTTGCTTAGCAACAGTTTTCACAATATAAAGACAAGTCATTTGTCTCTAAATTTGAGGTATTACTGTCATGTTGGTATGTTCTTTACTATCAAGTCATCTCACAGCAAAAGCACCTGGAAGTTAGGCGAGCTAGATAAAAGGAACAATGTTTGATAGTAATTTTCTTTTTGTTGAGTAAGATTATGAGGTAATGGTGGATATTTTACAGAATTATGATGGTTTGGTACTTAGGGACAGTCAGTGTTGTCTTGGTGCTGATGTGTATAACATACTGGTTGTTCTTGGAAGACGGTTGTCTATATAAAGTGCTAAAAAGTGTAAAACTATGTAGAATAAATCTTCCTTCTGTTAGCTGTCTATATCTTCAACAAATTTCAGACCTTCAAGATGGAAATTCATTCCATATTTGGGCATTTTTGATATTATCAGTCAAAAAGGCCCATTTAGGGGAAAGAAAATCTGTGGCAAAAATTCCTGAGAATTTATCGAAATTATAAATCTCTTTCCTTATATGTCATTAAAAATGTTTAAAAATTTGGTTGAAAGTCTTTAATAGTGGTCAGGCAAAGTTTAATGGCAATTGTTCTGTGTCTATATTGTTAAGTTATTGTTCAAGGTGTATGTATTAAATAAGGTTTATTGTTTCATCATCCTTTCTTTCATCATGCTGGTGAATGTTCATTATTAAAATATTAATTATCATTTGCTGTCATTAAAGATGCCTGGATCAATTCATGCATGGCTGACTACATTTTAATTTGAAATTGATGCATTTCACTGTTGACAAGAATTTCTGCTCTACCCTTGATTTGTTTTTGTTACGTTTTTATTAAGGAATCACCCATTTTCTAATATAGTTTTATTGTTTTGACTGCCACAATGTCTGTGTCAGATTTTTGTTACATTGATGTTATACCCGGTGCTCATGTTAATATATGTTGTTAGGTACTAGCCTGTTTATCTTTACTGAAATGTCATCAATTTCAAAGTTTTTCTGTCTAAATCTCAGACCATTATTATTATCTTTAGAAATCTGTAATTTTTTGGGTTTTTGTCAAAATATGGGACTTGATCTTTGAATTTCTTACTGTCAAGCTTCATTTTCTGAGAAAAACTGTTTATGCTAAAATTTCTGAAAATCCCCACAACAAATGGCTGCATTTCAATTTCAACCCTGGTGCCATTGTGATAAGAAGAGGAGTTAGTAAGTACAAGTTTGGGTTATACATACGATTTAGCATGAGTACCAGGTTACAATAACATTGCATGTTGGGCATGCTGTAGTGTGACTGCCATCGTGGCAATACTCATGTTACAGGTATGGTTCACAGTATAGCAGTACATCCACTGGACCTTATCGACGACCAACCTCCTTTACCTCCACCTCGTCATCATACTTACCGGCGTACATCCCCTACTACACACGTCAGCAGGAGAACAATGAACGCCGTGAACGAGAAAGAGAATCAGCAGCTGCAGCCAACATACGCCTCTCTGGCTCAACCACACCCACCTCATCTACTGGATCAAGCATGTCATCGTCTATGTCATCATCGTCATCATCTAACATCATTACCTCCCCCTACTCTAATTACCAATTTAGTAAAAGGTTTGTCTGTTTCATTGTCGCAGTTATTACTTAACATCCACATTAATACATTTTGTATTGGAATAGATAAACTGAAAAACAACAACTTTTTTTTACCTGAAGATTATTTCTGCAGAGAAATATTTGGATTTAATCTGCAAAGAGAAATATCAGGCTTAATTCTCAGATAATCTATCACATGTCATTATCTCAAATGGGCGTCTTCCCAACTGTAATCACAACTGTTACAAAACCATAGCTGACCTGTAACATAATATCCAAAATCAAATTATTTGGAAATGTTAAATTTATAAGATTTTAACCTAAATGTTTTGATCAGATTTTTATAAGAAAACAATTATCATAATTAACATAAGAGAATGCTTCATGAGAATGCACTAACAGAAGTTGACATGCTTCAGTTTGCACTTTTGCATTGTTTGCTTGTTTGTTACCAGTTTTAATTCAAAGTATGAATTTGGGAAAGCAGAGAAATTTTGAACTACACATGGAAATCTTGCTATCAAGTTGTTTATGAATTTTTTTTCATGTGAATTTGATTTTAATACTAGTGCCATGTTTCACATTCAAATCACTGAAAAGGTCAAATAACATACTGACTTGAACTTAACAATTACTGTTGAGAATTGAATGTAGACTTTATAGTGATATAGGAAACCATGATGATAGATCTTTCAAGAGATTATCAATGGCTTGTTTACTGTCACCTAGATCTTACGAACCACCAAAACGAGATGAGGAGGCAGAGACGCTAAGAAAGGCTCGGGCCAAGCGTGCTCGGGAGACAAGGAGGTCCACACAGGTAGTTAAATACCAGCAAATACAGTAACAATTTGTTAATCACTCTTGTTGGCTGGGATGTTAAAGTGATAGGAAGATGGACTGCATATAGAATACTCTTAGGAAATGGCATTATGCTTAACAAAGAAATGTGAATATACTTGCCCAAGACATTGCACAGTTGTGTTAATGAAGGAGATGTAAGTTTATTGGGAATTGTACATAGATGACATACAGAACGTTAAACATTCAAACCATATCAGCATTGATGAATTTTGATACAATATAATCTTACATATCCTCTTCCTGATATCTGCATCCCGATATTTGCATCCTTTCAATTGTGACAAGATCCTATCAATCTGAAATATTTGCCAAGAGTTGTGAAATCTGATCTAGTATGAAGACAAATATTGAATTTATGATAATCTTGAAAAAACTTTTATGGCCTGAATTCTAGGGTGTCACGTTAGAAGATATACAGCAAGCAGAAAAAGCCTTAAAGGATCCATCAAAGGTCACTTCCACGACAACTGGGACGACAACAACTACAACAAGCAGTACTAGTTCTACAGATGACAAGAGTCGAGTACCCGAGGTTGGATCCCAGAAGGACAGTGAACGTGTACCTGGACTAGAAAGTACTAAGAAGGAAGTTAGCACCACAGAGGACACCACGGTGCTACGTCGGCGTACTCTAGAGGAACGTCGACAGGTTAGAACAGTCAAATTATTATGTTAAATAAACCTGAGGGAAGCTGGAAGCGGAGAACAGGGGACCATTTTCAGCCATTTTTTGTCAATCTCAAAAATATGATTGGACATCCTTTGTAAAATTAAAAGAAAAATGGAATAATAAATGGGTCAGTAAGAGTTTTTGAGGCCCCGCGAACCCTCTAAAATTATCCCTGAAAATGCTGTTAGATATTTTTGATAAGATGTCACTGTTTGCCTTTAACAATATAGGTATTGGTTTCATGATACATCTATGTTTTAGGATGACCTGAGAGGCAGTTACAGAAAGTCTCGAGATGCCACCAAGGATTACTCTACAGATTCTGGTAGGTATATTTAAACAACTCACTACATCAACCTTAACACATCGATTGAACTGTCAAACAATTAGGGATGCAATTCATCGAATGCCTACAGTTAAGTATAATATGCATGTTCATTTTTATATCATGATCATAGCTTCCTTCCATTGAATCCCATCTACTTCCTTATCTCTTGATATGCACCGCCCAGTCATGATGATATCGCTAACCTCTTCATTGGTTCAATATATCAATAAAAACTCCAATCTGGTACGTTTCATTGTTCATTTTTCTGCATCTTGTCAGACTTATGAATGGAGACTAATTTCCTTACAATTTGTAACTGATATAATATGAATGTGCTACTGTTTGCTTGAAGATGATACAAACAGAATTGAAAAAGAGAATACTCGAGTAAACAAGCATAAATCTTTGCTACTTATATATACCCAAGAAGAGAAAATTCCGGAATTCTATTTAAATGGAGGTGTTGAAGGAACTGTCAAAGTCTCAGGGTGAACTATTGCAATCCTTTTTTTCTCGCACCTCAGACAGGAATATCCCGCTTAATATCCTATCCTAGATTTTTTTATCTCGCCCGATCTGTCTGGTACCCTTACATAAGTTTTACGGAATTTTTAACGCATGGAGGTCATCCACATGTAAGTGGCACCTACACTTGTGCATTTCAACAAAAAAGTAGGTTATGTCATTGTAAAAATGTTGTTCAGATTCCTTGTAGCTGCGGCCTACATTGTGTACGTAGCATTATCCAAACGTGAAGATGCTGTGTGGGTGGTTTGAGGCTTTCACGGGATATACTAAACTCTGATAAAATATTGAATAATTTTCAGAGCTGTAGGTGTGAGAAAAAAAATGGTGGAATCAAATTCTCTTTATGGATGGAAAAGCCTTCAGATAACTCACCAAATTGTAAATTTCATCATCACAGGATCTAGCATTGCCTCCTATGGAGGGGATAAAATGTAGTAGAGTTTATATAGGAAAACTACTTTTTTGAACATCATTTGTTTATTTTTTTATTGGAAGTTGTTAAGGTTTGGTAAGAGTTACAAGTATAAGATGACAGTGAGTTTCATGTCCTCAGGGTCTCACATTTCCCGTTCGGGAGGAGGTAAAATTTACTATAGTTTATACCGGAAAATTACATTTTTGACGCAATTAGTTTATTTCTTTAAGAAATAGTTCAAACTTGGTAAGAATCATTAGTATAAGCTGACAGTTTGATGAGATGCACCTATTGACCTTTGCTGAGCCCCAGGGGCTGATGGGCAGGGCCAAAAATAGGTCAAATTGTATGTTATTTCGAAGATGTTGTACTGTTCATGAATGGGAGAGTTAATATTGGACACTTCAATCTTTGAGTGTAATTTCTTTCAATTCAAACTTTGCTAGAAGCCGTAGCATGGGACAGCAGTTAACGTTATACACAGTTTACATTTGTCATCTTTTTTGGAACAAATTCATTGCTGTTAAGTCATTGGAATATAAAAAGGAAACAGCACTGTTTCCACACCTCAGATATGAACTAGAAGTGAAAATTTGGATAATATACACTTGTAAATGCCTGTCCGATTGGACATTCGAATTGAATCATGATAGGGGAAGATGATACCATGATATCAGCTATATCACCACTGACCACATTAAAACTTTAGATAGTAGAAATAAATTTTCAGTAGTCAGGGATTTTGTTTAACATAAAACCAAGGTCATTATTTATTTCAATGCCTTTACTAGGATTAAAACCCGCGACTTCTGACTCTATAGTCTTATACTTTACCGATTAGGATAGAGAGAAGGGATCTCTCTATCCTAGCAGTATATTTTGGCTAGTACTTTTACCAAGTCTATACAGAAATGAATACTAAATTACATGTATATATACTTGATTATGGTAACTCTCAATTCTTCATGTGATATGTAACAGAGATAGCTGATTGCATTTATTCATAAGGACCTTCAACATTTCCATTTTGATATATTTTTGGAAAACCAATCCCCTTGAAACCAAACTTACTTGTTTACCAAGTTGAAAGATTGACACAATTTGTCTCTTTGAGAAATATTTATATTTACAGCTGACATATTTCAACCTTGCAAACAAAACTGGCAGATTTTTCACCTGGCTAATGTATTCCAGTATAATGTCCTGCATGCTCCCCTAATACTGCCTTTTGATTTCAGCATATATACCTCGGCGAGAGAGGAACACACTGTCAACATCAGACAGTTCCTCCACCACTTCTAGTCTGAACACGGGGTCCGGGCTTACGCGCGCCTCCTCACTACGCACCAACCGGATACGCAATGGAGAGTTAGAAAGTCGTAATGAAGAGAAAGAGGAACGGCTTAAAGATTCTAAAGATGGTAAAAACACAACACAGATAGTTGGGAGCTGTTTGAATATATTCCAGATGTCCCTGTTTGTGTATTCCTATATCTGATAGCTTGCTGAAATGCTAGATGATGAGTTTTCATGAAATGACTAGCAATATGTGTTATGTTTAAATCAAATAGCTAACCAGGTGTGTTCAATAAATAGCTAGTGATTTGTGTGTTTTTAAAATAACTTGAAATGTGTGTTTATAAAATAACTAGCAAAGAGTGTTTATCAGATAAGTAGCTAAGTGTGTGTTTATCAATCAGCTGGCTTAGTGTGTGTTTGTCAATCAGCTGGCTGTTGTGTGCTTTCAAAAATGTGAAAAAGTGTGTGCTCATACAAAAATAAGCAAATGTGTTCTTACAGAATATGTATATGTAATGTGTTATCTTCAGGAAGCTCATAATTCAGACTTCTATTTAGAGTTTAATCAGTAAACATTGAGTTTTGGAAATGTAGGTGTGTCAGATAAGCATCAAACAAATTGACAAAAGATATTGACTTCCAAGGGAAGGAATAGAGCAATGTATATTGAATTTTATTAGAAGAGCTGAATTTTTCAAGTGAAAGGGAAATGTTATCTTGATCAAGTTCTGATGTTTAAATGGAGTGCTTGCAGAACTAAAAATTGGAGACTAGGTAAATCTATTAAAACAAACTTTGGTAACTGATCAATTGGAAATTTTGAAAATACTGAAACAGAAACTAAATGAAACTGTTTGCTTTAATTTAATTTTGGTTTCTTCAGACTCACAAGAGAAATCCCATGATATGAGGACAGTACGAGCTCGGAGAACAAGAAAGGAAAGACGATCAACGGGTATAGTGTCCTATGATGCCAAAAATGATGTAAGTTATCTCCCTTGGATTTGATTTCATATGGAATATATGTATTTGACAAGTTCTTTATTAATGTGTTTTTCTAACCTGTAATTTGTAGAGGGAATTATTTATCTTAATCATGGTTCATTTTAATTCACATTTGTTGTGTTTTAATGTCCTTCGTTTGTAACTTTACTCATGGGTTAATGTTGTCATTGCTGTGAGTATTAAATCATCACTGTCTACACTAATCTCCACATTTATCTGCTGCTACATCATTAACCTTGTGTAATGCAAGTTGTGTTTTTGTTTCATTTGTAGAAAATTCTAACATTGCCCATAGATTTTTGTTTTAAAAAGGTAAACAGGTTATTTGCTGGCCTTCACTCATATTTACACACCATTCTGTCATAATTCTGCTGTCTGATGTACAATACATTCCCTACCTTACAAGCTTACACAATGTTTTCTGTCTTACTCACAATACATGTTTTCTGTCTTACACACAATACATGCTTGTATATGGGTGCAACTTTTATGTGGACCAAAAAAAAAATCTGTAGGATGGAAAAAAAAAACCCTCACAAGACAGAAAGCGCACCAGTACACATTAAGAGACGGTACTAAGTTTTTTATGAGTACCTTCCTTTCATGTGTTTATGACTGAAACAAATCATCCAGAACCATCATTTGCAATCGTATACAGGTTGATTTGAAGATTTGAATTAAAAGTAAAATTCTTGTGGATTCAATTGATGATACCATTTAATTTGAATCACAATGATATCTTCTGGACTTTCACTGTTACTTTGAAGCCATGGCAGAAGTTTACCAGAGGTTTACAATAGCCTTTTACATCCTGGGATCAATAGGTCATCGGGTTATAGGTCACATTCTAGAACGACTGCCATGCTTGTTTAGGATAAATAAGATAATAATGGCTTCATGCAACTTACAAGAAGGAATTATATGGCACTATAAGAATTTGGTCTGCATGCAATGGCCTTTATAAATATTTAAAAGTACAGTAACCAATGGAGAGATTGTTTAGTAAGTACATGTTTTCAGTCTTACTCATAATACATATTTTCTTCCTTACACACAATACATGTTCTCTGTTTTACACACTATACATACTCCCTGTCCTGCACACAATAAATGCATGTTTTCTACCTTACACATAATACATTTTCCTTACCTTACACACAATACATGTTCCTTACCTTACACACAATACATTTTCCTTACCTTACACACAATACATGTTCCTTACCTTACACATAATACATTTTCCTTACCTTACACACAATACATGTTCCTTACCTTACACACAATACATTTTCCTTACCTTACACACAATACATGTTCCTTACCTTACACACAATACATGTTCCTTACCTTACACACAATACATTTTCCTTACCTTACACACACTACATGTTCCTTACCTTACACACAATACATTTTCCTTACCTTACACACACTACATGTTCCTTACCTTACACACAATACATGTTCCTTACCTTACACACAATACATTTTCCTTACCTTACACACAATACATGTTCCTTACCTTACACACAATACATGTTCCTTACCTTACACACAATACATTTTCCTTACCTTACACACACTACATGTTCCTTACCTTACACACAATACATTTTCCTTACCTTACACACACTACATGTTCCTTACCTTACACACAATACATTTTCCTTACCTTACACACACTACATGTTCCTTACCTTACACACAATACATTTTCCTTACCTTACACACACTACATGTTCCTTACCTTACACACAATACATTTTCCTTACCTTACACACAATACATGTTCCTTACCTTACACACAATACATTTTCCTTACCTTACACACAATACATGTTCCTTACCTTACACACAATACATGTTCCTTACCTTACACACAATACATTTTCCTTACCTTACACACACTACATGTTCCTTACCTTACACACAATACATTTTCCTTACCTTACACACACTACATGTTCCTTACCTTACACACAATACATGTTCCTTACCTTACACACAATACATTTTCCTTACCTTACACACAATACATGTTCCTTACCTTACACACAATACATTTTCCTTACCTTACACACACTACATGTTCCTTACCTTACACACAATACATTTTCCTTACCTTACACACAATACATTTTCCTTACCTTACACACAATACATGTTCCTTACCTTACACACAATAAATATTTATTACCTTACACATGATACTTGCTTCATGCTTCACACTTAAAATATCTTCCTTGCCTTACTTTGATACTTGCCTTGAACACAATTCATGTTCACTTCCAGAAACATTATGCATGCAATCTTCCCTATTCATGCTTGCACCCTGCAGTTTGCCCCAGGATGTGTACAAGTGATAATTCATTTGTCAAGGAAATCAGAATGTGCATTCTAGCCATTTACACCCAACAGATTAAACCATTCTTTGTTATTGTAAAAGGCATTGACAATGCTGATCTGAAAACTTTCCCTGCTTTGGTGTAGATATGTCGTACCTTTGACATACAATTCAGTTATGACTAGTGAGTAATTGTTTCCTATTTAGAAAACACACTCTGTTCCGTCCAAACAGCATGTTCTGTATTGTTCCTTCTGCTGAACCTCAGAAAATCATTCCAAAGGAAAGTGTTCATCATTAATCCATTACAAATGTTTCATTATATATTCAGCATGTCTATGTAGCCATATTGTTTAGTCTTCCATACATACTTTTGTTTTCAAGTTCAATTTTTTTTCAGTGCTGATGTTTTCAGCTTATCAGGTGTATTGACAAAAAAAAAAAAAAAATTAAACCAATTTCTGTCAACGCAATTGTTACATTATCTGTCTTTAAATTCTTTTTATTGATTATATCACAAATTTGAATATCACTGTTATTATAGTTTGGTATTGATGATATTGGTAATTGTTATAGAATGAAATTGACCAGAGATGCAATTCTGATTTTAGGAAGATGATGAAAAAGAAGAGGAAAAAGAAGAAAAGAAAGAGACTGAAGATAAGGTAGGAATTTTTTAACAAGATGCCAGTTTGGTGTTTACCAGATACCTGTATGGTAGTTTGATGTTTACCAGATACCAGTATGGTAGTTTGATGTTTACCAGATACCTGATGGTAGTTTAATGTTTACCAGATACCTGTATGGTAGTTTGATGTTTACCAGATACCAGTATGGTAGTTTGATGTTTACCAGATACCTGATGGTAGTTTAATGTTTATCAGATACCTGTATGTTAGTTTGATGTTTACCAGATACCTGATGGTAGTTTGATGTTTACCAGATACCTGTATGGTAGTTTGATGTTTACCAGATACCTGATGGTAGTTTGATGTTTACCAGATACCTGTATGGTAGTTTGATGTTTACCAGATACCTGTATGGTAGTTTGATGTTTACCAGATGCCTGTATGGTAGTTTGATGTTTACCAGATACCTGATGGTAGTTTGATGTTTATTAGATACCTGTATGGTAGTTTGATGTTTACCAGATACCTGTATGGTAGTTTGATGTTTACGAGATACCTGTATGGTAGTTTGATGTTTACCAGATACCTGTATGGTAGCTTGATGTTTACCAGAGACCTGTATGTTAGTTTGATGTTTACCAGATACCTGTATGGTAGTTTGATGTTTACCAGATACCTGTATGGTAGTTTGATGTTTACCAGATACCTTTATTATAATAGTCTGATGTTGATACCAGGTACTAGTATGGTAATGTGATGTTTACCAGATACCTGATGGTAGTTTGATGTTTACCAGATACCTGTATGGTAGTTTGATGTTTACCAGATACCTGATGGTAGTTTAATGTTTACCAGATACCTGTATGGTAGTTTGGTGTTTACCAGATACCTGATGGTAGTTTGATGTTTACCAGATACCTGTATGGTAGTTTGATGTTTACCAGATACCTGATGGTAGTTTAATGTTTACCAGATACCTGTATGGTAGTTTGGTGTTTACCAGATACCTGATGGTAGTTTGATGTTTACTAGATACTTGATGGTAGTTTAATGTTTACAATATACCTGTATGGTAGTTTGGTGTTTACCAGATACCTGATGGTAGTTTGATGTTTACTAGATACTTGATGGTAGTTTGATGTTTACTAGATACTTGATGGTAGTTTAATGTTTACCAGATACCTGTATGGTAGTTTGATGTTTAACAGATACCTGATGGTAGTTTGATGTTTACCAGATACCTTTATTATAATAGTCTGATGTTGATACCAGGTACTAGTATGGTAGTGTGATGTTTACCAGATACCTGGTATGGTAGTTTGATGTTTACCAGATACCTGTATGGTAGTTTGATGTTTACCAGATACCTGATGGTAGTTTGATGTTTACCAGATACCTGTATGGTAGTGTGATGTTTATTAGATACCTGTATTGTAGTTTGATGTTTACCAGATACCTTTATTATAGTCTGATGTTGATACCCAGGTACTAGTATGGCAGTTGCAAAATAAGAAATTCAAGTGTTTGTGTTCTTCAAAAAGTTTATTAAAGTTTTTTTAAGATCTGTACCAATAGGAGAATTGCACCAACTTAAAATCTGCTCACAGTTGAGGATGTTTCAGTCTACCACACTACCTTTATAGTTTTTGCTTTCACATAAAGTATCTGTATACAGTTGAGCACTATTTCGTGCATTGTTGCCTTGTCATCTTGATGTTATGGACTGTATCTTATTACAATGAACCAGCTCACAACTCTACTTAAGGATTACTGGTTTATAAGCTAACCATATTCACTGCTGAAATAGACATCAAAGAGAAATTTGATGTTGTTTTTAGTAGAAAATAAACACTTTCTAGTTATAAAATAAAACCCTACATTATTGTAGTTATATCTGTTGGAGGAATGTCATGCACATTTGAGCAATACACAATTATTTTAAAAGGAATATTTGTCAATGAAATAAGAAAGTGTTTTATTTAAAGTTGGTTAAATATGCAGGTGTTTAGGATGTATAACCTTTTGTTAAACTGTGTAGGGCTAATCTTGTGTCAACACTAAAAACTTTGACATATCAGTGTAGATTTATTGATGTAGGATGAGCTGATTGTTTACTCTAGATAAGGTTGTGATATTGGTACAGCCGTGAATGCATGTACTGTGTACACTGATTGTATTAATCTCTTAGTACTTAATGCTAAAGTTGGGCATCTCAATGGTCAGGCCAAGTCATGCTAATATTTTGAAATAAAAATATTTTCGGATTACCCATTTTGTTAATGGGTACTTACACAGAGAACCATAGTTTATTTATAAGCTCTTTTCATGCATAATTAAAGAACCAACTATCTCTGGTACTAAATATGTATTCATAACAGATTGATGTAATAGATGCTAGTAAGGAATTCAGGGGATATTATACTACTGATAAAGGGGTAGTTATGGAATAGATGTTATGTCACTGAAAACAAGATACTGTAAACACACTTGAATGGTGCAGTCAAATTTTAGCACAATATCACTTCTTGGCAAGTAAATGCACTGACGGACTAGAACATCTACAATGATTGGTGTATCAACCACATCCAGAAACTGCAATTAGCTCTATCATATTTTAGCATAGTAGTTACAGCGGAAGAGGGCTAAAATTAGATTACTGCTATGATATGTCTGTTTACAGTAGTTAGATGATTTGGGTGGAATAACACGGTAGCTATGTGATGAATCAGTTTTCACATTTTAATGAGAAAAGTGTCTTTCAGTATGAAAGGTATACAGACGGAGATATTGCAGTAATATGAGTAAATTTGTCGTTAAGTTTGCTTAAATAAAGATAGCAATGGTTGTGCAACAATTACAGTGAAAGTAATTTGAGTTGATGAGTATTTCATCAAGTAATCAGGTGACCTAGCTCTACCAATGAATCGGAGCTGACATCAAAGTCTGTTGTGAAAAAAAGGGAGAGATAAATTGATAAGGAATCTTGGAGGTTTTGTATCTCCAACATGAAAGAGCTATTCATCAGAAAAAAAATGTTTAGATTTACTGTAAGTATGCTTCAGTTTTGATGTGAGAAAAGATCAAGACATTTTGTTCATAATAAAGAACTCCTTGTTAACATTAGGTGTTACTTGCTGAATCAATATGATGTAGGGTATGATTAAAAAAAAGAATACTTAATTTGATGTCTTAAGTTTAATTATATCATACTTTCTTACATTGCCAAGATGGGATTTTTATTGCACTAACTGTCCATATCCCTCCTTAAAATGATGCTAGTTATTGCTTATTCAGTAATAAGCCCATGTCTGTTAATAAGCCCACCCACATCTATTTCAGAAAGCCATTAAATGATTTATTGTTGTCCTGTTAGTATTCCTTTTTACTTTAAATCAGAAGATATATGTGTTTGCTTCCTGTTCATAACATGGGAGAAACATTGGTAGTTTCCCATTGTCGTCAGTACAGGTTTGTACTCTGTCCTTCTTTCTATTAGTGAGACAGTCTGAATTTTAATTGTCACACACTGTTCTACTTACAAGTGCTAAACCAAAGTATGTATCCAGTTTAAACATAAAATTATGTCACTTTGTCAAATGTGTTTAAATTTTTCCTATGCACACCTTACCTAGCCAAATTTTAAATCTAAATACTTTTCAGATTGAACATCAGTTGTGAAATTCAAGTCTCAGCCCTCAGTATAAACTGAGTTATACCTCTCTATTTTCTTGTTTAATTAGAAAAATTAGTTGTCTTCTGAATTAATGTGGAAGCTAGATAACATTATCAAATAGTTAGAAAATACCAACTGGGCCCATCTGTTGAGGAATACCTCCCAAGTAATGTATGTGAATTATATTTAAGATAAACAATAGCTTCTTGTTTCAACATCAGTATATGTTTATAATTCCTAGATTAGATATGTAGACAAAGATAGTTGGGGCCAGTCAGCTGTCACCAGGCTTACTAGATCACATGGCTGTGTGTGGTGCTGGGCTGGGCACTTCAAACACAGTAGCCGGTTCAGATCACTTTACATAAAAATCCACATTAATATACTGAATCTGTCCATGGAATGAGGTGGTCTATTATAGACTTATCTTGTTAATATGTGCCTTCTTACTGGCAACTTATTTGTGGCAATTATTTCTCTTGTATTTATTGGATAGTCAAGTTAAAGAAGTTTATTTGTGCTTTTACTTACATGCGATATAAGAAATCTAACGTTGGTTTTAGAGAATTAAATGCTTTTCGTTGTGATTTATCCCTGTTAAGCTGGTTTCCACATTAAGTGCTCTTTTCTATCTTGGGACGATATGTTTTATAATTGTCATAAAATAAAATTTTACTTAAGTTTTCCTTTTTGATAATATTGAAAATTTTATACGCAAGAGTTTACATTATAATAACACAGGAAGATTGAAATTACTACAGGATTTCTACGTTAATTAGGTGGCCCCTGTCATAGACTTGGTTTAACTCCATAGCTTATCATAATGGTGTCAGTTTGTGTACAATCTGTGATATGTAAATACACTTTGTACAGAGCTATGATGTCTTCATTTTATTTGTATATCAATTTGTCAACATCAAAAGGACAAGAACTATTGGTTTGGTCATTGTCATATTAGATTGGTAGACAATAGAGACATTTCCTGTAATCCTGTCTGTCCATCTGCCCCATTATATCACATTGCTTCCTGTTCAGAATCAGTTTCAAGGTTTGGTTCATATTTAACCCAAAATGTCACATAAAAGATACCGAGTTCTACAGATGATTACATTCTGTATGGAAGCCTGGGCACTTCTGTCTTATAGACTTTCCTATCTTATCTGGGTGTTTTGTTTTATAGTTTCTTTTATTTCACAAATTTTCCATTTTAAGATACGACAATTTATATGAAAATAAAATCTATCATGTTCATATACTGACCTAACATAGATAAAAAGGAAGTGGAAAAAGCCACTTGCTTTGTATATCTGGTAGATTGATCTATGGTGTGTATGTTATCTATTGACAGAAGTTGTGTTTTGTT